TAAATATTTTATTTTTTAGAGGGAATTCTTCTAGACTCTTTTTCTAAGACCAGAAATACCTGAAGGCCAAAAACAGGCAAGGATACAAAAATGAAAGCTATAAAACAATATTCTTGATGAACAGAGATTTTAAAAATCCCCCAAAATTAACAAACTAAACTTAACAGCATATCAAAAGATTATTCACTATGATTAACTGTGATTCACTGTAGGAATGCAAAGATAATTCAGCACATAAAGATCATTAAGTGTGATGTATCACATCAACAGAACGATGGACAAAGCCCATGAGATTGGAAAGTAGCTCAGTGGGAAAGCACTCGCCTCGCTTGCCTGAGGCCCTAAGTTCACTCCCCAGCATTGAATGGGAGCACAGTTACACACGTAAAATGTATTTGACAAAATTCAACATCGCTTTGATTAAAAACTATAAAAAAATTCAATATGGAAGGAATGTATTTCAACACAATAAAAATCACATATAAAAAGCCAATAGTTAACATCACACTGAATGGCTAAAGGTTAAACACTTTGTAAGATGTAGAACAAGATGTTGAAAGGCTTCTTTTATCCCTTTTATTTAACACTGTGCTGAAAGTTGTAGCTGGAGTTACTTGGCAAAAGAAAGCAATGAGGAAGTCAAATTGTCACTGTTTGAAGTCAGTATGATCTTGTACTTAGAAAATCTCAAAGACTCTCCAAAATACTACTATTAGAACTAATAAGCAAATTCAGCAATGTTTTAGAGCATTACGCCAACATATAAAAATCCACAGTGTTTCTATATATATCAGTAGCAAATTATTTGAAAAATAAATTGCAAAAGTCATCTTTTTTACTATTACAAAGAATATTCAGGAAGAAATTTAACCAAAAAATGAAATAACTCTATAATGAGATTATTGATCAAAGAAATTGAAGCAGTCACACACAGTGGAAAAGCACCCAATGTTCATGGATTGAAAGTATTAACACTGTTAAAATGTCCACACCACCCAAAGTCATCAACAGGATCAGTACAGTCCTGACCAAAATACACATGACACAATTTGTAAAACTACAAAAAGCGATCCTAAAGTTTGTATGGAACTACAAAAATACCCCAGTAGATATAGTTTAGTGTCACAGCCCCTGCCTGGCAAGCACAAGATCTGAGTTTTATTCTTGATATCTTTAAAAAAAATACCCCCAGTAGCCAAAGCCACTGTGAGTGTTATAAAAGCAGGAAATATTATACTACCTCACTTTAAAACACACTACAAAGCTATAATCAAAAGAGCAATACATTGATATAAAAATGAAGAAAAAATTGGAACAGAATTAAGATCCCAAAAGTAAACCCCCAAATCTACATATGACTGATCTACAGAACTACCAAGAAAGTGCAGTGTGGAGGGAGAGACTCCTGAACAACCTAAAAAATGCTAGATACCCACATGCAGGAAAAGGAAACTAGACTTCATCTCACCAGTTATAAAAATCAGCACAAGGTGCATCAGCCACTTACATATGAGACATGAACTATGAAAGTATAGAAAAAATTTCAAGAGGAAGCCTCTGTCTGTTGAGACAGGCAAGTGTATGTTAAGGTAAGCCAGGAAAAGCACAAAAAATGAAAGAAAAATTGGAAAATGGAATTTCACAGACTAAAAAGCTTCTGTGCCATCAAGGAAGCAAACACAAGGATGAAAACTTATAGAATTGACTAAAATATCTGCCAACTAAACATGTGACAAGAAGTTAATACCTAGAATATATAAAGAATTCAAGCAACTATAGCAAAAAATAATAATTGATGTACATAATTGAATAAATAAGTAAATAAAATCTGATTAAAGTACATTGACTAAAAACACATTTCTCTAGGGAAAAAAGTATAAATGGCCAACAGACATACAAAAAATATAGTCTACATTTTTAATCATCAGAAACATGTAAATCAAAACCACATGAGATACAGTTTGCTCCAATAAGACTGTCTATTGTCAAAAAAGAATAAAAGATAAAAGGAAAAAGAAAAGATGAGAGGATATGAAAGACACAGAGAGAAAGAACAAAGGAAGGAAGGAAGGAAGGAAGAGAGAAAGAAAGATGGAAAGAAAGAAAGAAAGAAAAAGAAAGAAAGAAAGAGGGGAGGAGAAAGGACAGATGGAAGGAAGGAAAAAAGAAGAAAAAAAACAAAACAAGAGAACTGTTGACTGCTGCACAGTGTCCGCGGTCATGGGAACGTAGTTCAGCCATTAGGAAAGCTGCACACGCCTGCCCCTAGAATTTAGAAGCAGAGCTACCAGGATCCAGGAAGGCCACCTCCAGGACTGTGCCGAGGCGATGAAATCAGTATGTTAGGAAAACTTCAGACAAATCAAAGAGACAGAAGCGATTTAAGTGAATGTCAGTTAAGAAATGGATAAAGAACACGAAGTTTGCCTAGGAATGAATGCTGGAGGACAGAGCAGTGAATTCCCACCATTTCTACCACACGGATAGAACCGTAGCTCATTATGTCAAGCGAAATAAACCTGGCACAGAGAGAGAAACACTGAGTGATCTTGGAATAGGTGTGATTGAAAAAAAAAAAAATGATGTCACGGGGCAGCACGGTGGTGTTCAGAGTTTAGAGAGACCCGGGCAAGGGATGGGAGCAGTCACTGGAGAGACACTAGGTTACAGTGACAGGAGAGCAGGTCTGGGTGGGGATTGTACAGGGGGCCTCTACAGTATACATGTGCTCTGTGTATCTCAAAAATAGCAGCTTTTTCCATAAAGAAAGTATACATATTTGAAGATACAGCTATATTTACCTTTTGCGAACATCATATAGTGTGTACATACACCAGGAAATCATGATGCACCATAAATTTTTCTTTGTTTTCTATCCCTTTCCCTATACCCCTTCACTCTGTCCACTTCCATGAAATAAAATAAATCATTTAAAAACAGCCCTACTTCCTAATTCAAATCTAAAATTGCAATTCAACATAAATGCTTAAAATTTCTAATCTTCAGTGAGTTGCACAATAGCATTTTAACTTGAAAATCTCTTGCTAGCATTATAAAGGGAATAAATTCGGCGTTGATTATAACCTGTATTTGTGACCATCATGTGTGTAGGAAGCATCACGAAAGGGGACTCTGCTTTCTCCGAAGTGTGCACAGCGGAGTTGACTACGGGAGAAAAAAGAACTCAAATGCTGGCCGTGGTCCCACGCAGCTGCAATCTCAGTGGCATATGACAATGAGGCCAAAAGATGGCAAGCTGGAGACCAGCTTGGGGAATTTAGCAAGACCCCGTCTCAAAATTTAAAAAACAGAAAAGTGCAAACAAGACTGGGATGCAGCTTAGCGGAGAGCAATTGCCTCGCATAGCGGAGGCCCTGCATTCGATATCCAGCCCGCCAAGCAGATAAATTAATTAATTAGCAAGTAAGTGAGTAAAATAAATAGTCAGCCAGTGTAGTCACATGCAAGTCATCTGTAACACGTGAAGCACTTCCACTCACTGAGGCAGTGATGACTTCTGGATAGGGCGTGAAGGTCAGAGTCTCCAAGGAAACTCAGAACTCAGCAGGTCCCAGGTGCCATGTGGAATGGACACAGGTGTGAGGTTGGCGTGGAAGACATGTTCACATGTGGTGGGAGTGCAGTGATGGGCGCTCAGGCGTGCTGGGCTGTGATTACGTCCACCTTGGAGTGGACTGTATGTCCCATTCACATTTGTTGTTGTTGTTTGATGTCATGCTTATCAATTTTTAAAGCATAAGTACACAGATAAATAACCCATAATAGGATACTTCTTTTCAGTTATATGACGTGAGGTTGAATGTCTCATCCACCAGGTCACCCGTCTCATTAGATGCTTTAGCCAGTAACAGTCCACATGACGAGGTCACCTGCACTCTATCACGGCAAACGTACTCCTTACCTTGAAATTGCCTTCACATCTCAAGCTTTCACGAGGACAACATGCCCCTGAGATATTTGCAAATATAAAGAGCAAAACAAAATGCAAGCTATTTATAATAAAACCTTTCAGGTGACTTTTATGAGCAAGGCTTGAAATCTGGTGAGGTGGAGGGGGAAGCCCTCATGGTTACAGCCGTGTGGGGGAGCGGACAGATGGAGCCGTATTAGAACTGGGCTGAAGCATAGGGCAGATGCGGGCCACAGTGATTCTTCCCAGACGGCAGAAAAGAGCTGACCAGGGCACTGTCATCTAAAGGAGCAAAGCAAACGGACAGGATTAGGAAACCAACAACAGTCCTGTCCAAGTTATTTTTAAGCTAGATTTTTGCATGTGTGATCTCGTTTCACTGTGAACCTGTTCAAATACAGGTTTCCTGATGAGTCTACTTAAAATCAAAACAGAACGAAGGTCTAGAAAAATGGAGAAAACATCAAAAATGTATTTTCAGTGTTCTGGGTAGGATCTTAAGTCCCTTGAGTTCAAGGTCTATGCCAGAATAATCAGTAAACCACTTTGTTAGGGATGTTGTACTGTGACACTGTCTGAGAAATGCATGTTATTACATCATCAATAGTTTTTCCAATATGAAGTAAATGAATCCATTTATTCCTATTCATTCTGACTGTGCTGCGTGTTTTGAAAAGATACCTGAAATTGATTAACGTAATAATTTAAAATTGATTCTGTAATATACAGTAACGTGGGAAAGAAACCAAGTGACCATTCACAGCAATGTTCTTGTATGTAGTGGCAAATTAGGATGTTGCTTCAGGCTAGCAAATAAGATAGGTGAATAAATATGTCTCACAATTAGAGAAGCCAAATTACTGGATTAATGAAAATTACTGATATTACAATGCATAAAAGTTGGAATAAAACAAAAGCTTTCTTAATTCTATAAATAATCATATGCTGTTTCCTATGCCAAGTGCATGTCATTCCTGTCCATGAAATCGATGGTGATTCTGTCTTCTGAATTCAAGTTTTAGAATAGACAGACACACACGCATGCATAAAATTACAAAAGAGAAAGAAAGCATTTTGATAAAATATTTTATTATTATTAAGAATAATATCATCATGGTTATAAAAATAACAACTTTATTAACTACAGAAACTTTATAGTACAAGTCATAACCACGGTGCCCGCCTTTTCGGGTAAGCATCCAGCGACACCACTCATAGGCAGCTTATTGATTTCCTATTTACACATATGACAGTCATAGTATCCACAGTATTCTATTTTCAGTTTCCTAAAGACAGAAACTTTCTGTGCAAATGGAAATGAGCCTACTTAAAAATTACACTGCAAAGAGTTATAAGTTCTAGACATTTTTAGCCTTTTATGTATTAGTTGAATATTGTGACAAAACTTTTTTTTGGACTTAATCATGAAAAGTAATTTACTGGAAGTATTAATTTTTGAAAAGACAAATGTGTCATCTTATTCAATTTAATTCTTCCAGTGAGTTTTTTCTATTAACATGATACATAGTAATGGAAATTAGTTATTTCTTTGAACTTCAGTAAGTCAATATAATAAGGTTTTTTAGTATAGAATTGATTAACTCTTTACCTCATGATCTTTATATTGTGAAACTAGCATTTTTTTTTTAAAGTTTAAAAACCACATGACAAGGCCTGGCAGCCATCTCTCACTTTGTGACAGACAGTGTCTTTTCCCAGAGAATGTTGTGGCTAGAACATTCACTTTGGGCAGTACCATTGGTACCAACAAGAAATATTCACAGGAATAAGTGAGATACAGCTTTACTCTCACATGCCATGATCTTTAGCTGCTCGCGCCCAGTGTCCCACATTCCCCGTTGGTTGTTGGAAACACTTGGACTGCAAGCAAGAGCCTGTTAATATCAGAGATCGACTCCATAGAAACCATTTCACTGAGGACCTGCCCACAGCAAACAGGTAAAAGTCATCATATATTTTACAATAAAATTAAAGAAGCATACAAAAGGATGATCATTGCTTCCGCACAGCAGAGGCGTTATGACAAATATTTTAATGTTACATTTCTATTTCTGGTAGACGTAGGAAAATGTCTACAATTAGAACAGCATAAAAGCGTTATTCGAACAGCCAAAACAAACAGACCATTAGAAACTTTTAACTTAAAAGGCCCTTCCTCCAGGATATTAATAAAACAGATTTCTGGATACACTGGATTTGTTCATTATTTTGAAGTTGATCCGGAGAAAAAGACCCGATAAATAGAATCTTTCACCGGGAATAATGGGATCATGCCCTGTCCTGCCAGCTGACCTAACAAGGATATGGTAGATGGCCAGTTATACTCAGGGCACTGTACGAAAACCTAAATCTACCAGGGAGACCGCACACGTGAGTTCCCTGTTTGGTGATTCATTCATGCTATTTTTATCCTTTTATAAAACAGCGAACGCGAAGTTCAAAATATCTAAAGATTAGCTACATCTTACATTTAGATTAACCTTTATCTATTTTCATGGAAATCTACAGACAATGACATGAAAGAAAAATTTAAAATGTGAGTATTTCATGTTTGTTTTGGGGTACCAAGGATTGAACTCACAACCTCATGTTTACCAAGCAAGCGCTTGAGCTGCTGAGCTAAATCCCCAGCCCCCAAATGTATTTTAAACTATGGCCATGGTCACAATACTGATAGGATAATTATGTTGCTTAATAAAATTTGGCAATTTCAGCAGGAAGAAACTATGCAAAGCACTTTAATATTTTGGCAATGTACCTTTGACATGTCTGTGCTTTCATTAGGATGGTGCGTTATAGAAGGGAAAGAGAGGTGTCATTAAAAGAGGTTTATGTGGACTGGTAACACCTTAGAACTCTCTTTGTTTCCCGATGCCAGGATCCATTTTATTAAAAAAAAATTCTAAAATATTGGCACAGTTTCCATAAAGCATTTCTGTATTCACTGTCCTGTCCTCTGTGGACTAACCTCTCCCATAAATTTAGAATTCACGTACTCCAGGTTGAGCAGTTCACTGGAGAAATCTTAGGGTATCATTTGGAATCATGGCCCTAAGACAGATGAGTTAGGGGTACCAAGACAGAGAAATGGGAAAGTAGATTCAAGCCAAATTATTCCTGGTCTATACAGGAAGATTTTGTGAAAATTCAGAGCCTATTCTATTGATGCTTTTTAACTGCAGTTCTTGACAATTACATGATTATTAGCTAGTCATGCCAAGCAGAATAATAAATGTACCAATCTGGCTATTATCATGCAGAACACAAAACTTATGTGGATATTTCCCATGGCATTAGGAAAAACCTGTATTAAATAAGATAAAATGAATGTATCTTGGCAAAATATCCAATTCAGCAGATTGAACTCCACATTAAAAAATGGAACACAGACAGACAAAATAGTTCCTCCCACTTACAATTTGTCCTTTACTTGAATAAAGTATTATTCTAAAGTACTCTAAGTGTTATACTAAAATATTTCAAGGTTGAGAAAACCCTTTTTATTCTTTGCTCTGATATTTAGTTTAATGCATAATTTGGTGAAAGACTATTAACAAAATTTTGGGGCAAACGTTAAATTTTCTCTTAATTATATATTATATATTTTGAATCTAAGGTGTGTGAATCCAGAATCCAGTCACAGGAGAAAGTCTTGGAATTAAGCTAGTTTAATCCCTTTTTAATGACCAAGACACTTGTACATTTCTTCAAGTTAGGTACAATTGGACAAGTTAAATATTTTGGAACATTAGATCTACGGATACCTTGCATAAATATATGACCCTAAGTTGGAGGAAAGAAATAATATAAATATATGTATTATTTTCTTCCCTTTAAGAATTAGGAAGTCTGAGAAATAACAGGATAATAAATATGTAAACACCCAGATTAGGCAACATGTAACTCTGCAGGTCCTAACCTCAGTTTACAAACCCTCCAGTAGAGGTCATCTATAGATTATGTATAGAAGTTAGTCACTTCTCTTTTGTATCTTCCCTTCACGTCTCTACTGATCTTTAGAAATTTCTCATTTGTTTTTGAAGAAAAATAACAGATCCACACCTTTAAAATATTTAGAGATTACACTAGACACACCGTGATTTGAACTGTAGTGCATAGCACAAGTGTACCCAGGTACATGTAACAGGTATGGGATTTTGCAACAGTAAGTTTGCATACCACTGTTTCGGGGTACACAGTGAGGAGAATTGAATGAGCTATCACAAATGGCATAGGTATTAGAATTTAATATAGAGTTACAATTTAAGATCACAAGGTATAAATTGAGTGAGATTAAAATAATGCTTAACGTATGGTTTATTCATCATTAAGGAACTAACCTTGGAAAGCAGCGTGGAGAGAGTAACTGATCTGTTCCATTAAATCCTTTATAACCCAGCAATTATACCTTTCGCCTTTTTAAATCCATTCAAGTATCTTCAGGAGTTATGTTACTGCAATTGCATGTACCTTAATTCACTTCAACATTTACAAAATAACACTGACAAACAAAACGACAGAAAACACCCATATATATTAATGAGTATCTTAACAAACACGACACTCAAGTAGTTGTTTTAGGTGACAGTTCCACTCCACGGTCTCTGAAATCTTCTTGTGAAACTGTCGTGGACCGATGGATGCTTTGGACGCATGCGCTTCACTTATGACTGTGGTACCTTATACGTTAGAATTATCTTGTGTATCCACTTTGCGTAATAGGCTACTCGGACAAAGATGCCAGGGCGGTTGGGGATGGCGCACCCGCGACCTGGCACGATGACACCGAGGACCATCTGCATTTTGTGCTGCTCACAGACGAGTGGGCCACCATAGTCCCCCTAGGCAGAAGAAGCAGCGACATGTTAATTCAGAACGGAAACTGAAACTTGCTGATGTCATCCTCCACTGACTTGCAACTCAAGGGGACACAGACACAGACGGGAGGACCACAGCTGGACCAGGAAGAGACCAAAATAGGCATCTCCAGGGCCCTGGCCGTCCTCCGGGGGATCAGCCACAGAAGCCTCCAAGATGAACACAAAGCACCAAGGGTCGCTGCATGAAGCCTTCCCTGGAGAACGGCTCACTTTTTCCTAAACACTGATTTATCCTTTAAAGTGTATTTTCCCTTTATCAACTATGAAAAGAAACAACCACCGACATTCACTACATAAAATCTGTTCATGTGTATTTTGATCGTCAGGTAGTTCCGTTAGGTTCAAAATAGAAAATCTGAAAAATGCAGAGAAAATATGAGTAAAGAAAATTTATGACATGGCTTTCATGATTAAACCATTACATTTTCATTTATTTCTAAAACTGTCTTTTCCTTTCTTCCAATCTGTCCTCAGATGCTCTTATCAAGTGAAATAGAAAGCTTCTAGTAAATAAAATAATTCTATGTTATTTAAAAGTTTTATTTCCAGGCAAGAAATGTCCCTTCATTTATCGTTGGCATCAATAGTCTCTATCAGTATATCATTACTCCATACCCTCTTTCAGAAGCGTAGCATCAGAGTTAGTGGAATCTCTTGGATGTCCACACTGTATTACTAAAGACAGTGAGGGAGAGTGTAGACCAATGGCTGGATGTGTGTGTTTTTCTGTGCCTTCATATTCATACAGGGTGATGCGTAATTACACATCCAGAAACATACATTCTGTTCTGCAGAATTCCTATAACTATGTCACATCATTTTCATGTGCCATGTGTCTCCCATACATGTGACAGCTGGCTTCAGGCATCCTTATGTAAATAAGAATATAAGAGACAATTATAATTTCCTCTTAAAGTGACATCTAAATTAGTGCAGAAACTAGTTCTGTGATGCCTGTGGAAAAAGAGAGACATCGATCTTCTAGGACAGGGAATATTAAGATGAGCTGAAGAAAAACCTTCCAACAGTAAGGAAAACCTTTGCTGCAGAAGACTTTGTATGAAGTCTATTTCAGGAGATGACAAAACTATTTTTTTAAATGCCTGAATGATTCCTGACAGGAGCTCTTCAAAGCAACCAGCTCTGGAGACTTTAGTTAGATGTGATGCTGTTGCAACCATATACACACCAGAGAGATTTCTCTTTCAAATTTCCTTCAGTGGTTAAATTGTCTATTTTCAATGTGCATAAGCACGCACACACACACACACACTCACAGAGGTATGTACATTCTGGAGGGTAAATGTATTTTTGACAAGTGACAGAATTCAATTACATTCAAGTCACCAATAAGAATAACAATAACAAAAATGAGCCAAAGGAACGAATACTTCAAGGCTACAGTGGACCAAAGACTGTGCCTGAAAAGCAGCTCACAGGCTAACATTAGTAAGGAAAAACAAGGCCCTGAGCTGGTCTAGCTTGCAAATTGTGAGCTCGCAGAACTCTTGGGGACTAAAGAGAGAACCATTTTTCTTCCCCGAGTTAGATGTTTCCCTTGTACCACAACAATGCTCATTTCCTGGAAAGAAACCAAATTTGAAAGTGTTTATAAACACATAATCTGTTTCTAATCATATCTTTCAAAAGCAGTTCTAAAACGTCGTTAACTTAGTAAATGTTTTCTCTTCAGGAATAAAAATCTCAGCACAAAGCGCTAACACACACATTTCAATGCATATTTATGATGGGACTTGGGGCGCACATTTCCTGACGCACCAGTAGGCATCCCATTATCACTGCTCGCACCCATGCTTTGTGGACACACTGCCCCAGCGGCACACAGCTCGAGCCTGAGAGCACACATCTCACATCCCCATCACATCTGAAATTACAGCTGAACAGCTTGTCTCTGTGGTTCAGGGACCAGAGCCCTGCAAGCTGAAAGAACATTTGCCTTACAAATGAAAATGCCCAAGCTCTCGGAGCCGCACACTTTGACCCTAAAGTTTTCAAAAATAGAATTTGTTTACACATGTGCACACACACACACACACACACACACACACACACACTAACCAAAAACACATTTGAAAGTTTAAAGCCAGGCATGAATCTCATAACATTTTCATGAAGTTCATTTAAGGGAGACTTTGGGAAGATCAGATAAGATTAGGAAAACGCCAAGCTATGGTATCACAGATTTGGATCCTCCTCACCGGAACAGCCTCTGGTAGAGCTGTGGATGCCGTCACTTACTGTTCTTTTGCAGGACAATTGTCATCGGAGTGTGCTGTCAACATGGCCTGAGTTGTTTCACCATCAATTCAAATAAAGGCAAGAGCCAGGTCAGGGTTATCTCTGGCCACAGGAAGCTGTGACCGCACAGAGCATCTGCCCTGAAGATCCCACTCTTACCTCGCATGGCCCCGAGCGGATCTTCTCGGCCCCGGCGCATATCTCAGACTCGCTCAGTGTCACCTTGCCTTGGTGATGCTGGGCGCACCTCTCGTTGCCCATGATGTAGAGGTGCGCCACGCGCAGCAGGCCATCCGCGTTGATCACTACGGGGCAAAGCACGCACTGTCAGCGGGCACTGCCAAGGCCGGGAGCCCGCCAAGGTCAGAACAATGCAGCCTCCCCTTTTGAAAAGTCACTTACATCCGGTGTAGCCCCAGCCGTAAACACTGCAGGTGGTCTTCTCAGGAATTGTGCACCCGTAATTAGGCAGATCGATGGTGCTGACAAAGTCATCCAGGACAGCAGGTCTAAAAAAAGGAGGAGGAAGGGGTCGCTGGTGCTGGTCCACATAGCATTGGCATCAGGCATGCAAAGCTCATGGGCAGTATTTAAAGAGAATGAGATCTCCCTTACTTGAAACTGGAGAAAAATGAAGGCTAATGATGATGACCAAATTTACAGTAGGTGGTAGAGAAAAGGGTAAGTATTCCTGCCACTTGGTAAACTGTGTCCCTCTGCATTTTTAAAAGCTGTCAGGTAGATGCTCACTAAGCTTCAGCTGGAAGCAGGCTGATTAGACTGTTGGCCCAGCCCATTTATCAGATTTGACAGCTTTCCAAGCATTCATTTCTGCACTAACACTGCACCCACAAGATAATAAAGACCCATAGATGGAAAGAATGGCCACATGGCTGAAAAAGACACTTCGGTCCTTCTGGACTTGGTGAGCAGCCCCGATCTTTGACAGGACTCACCTGGCGAGCTTCAGTAACACCAGATCCGAGCCTTCGGGCCCGTACACCAGCTGGGACACATTGCGAACCTGTCTGCGCTTCTCCTCGCCTCGACCGTGGACATCGTGGATTCCAAGCCAAGCTTCATAATCTTTCAGGTCTTTGTTTCTAAGTTTAAAAAAAAAGGCATGTAAATCATATTTCCAATTGAGCAATATCATTAGTACATATCCTTATTTTCTCTTATAAGATGAACAAACAATCTAAAATTTGACTCAAAGTGAAGACCCCCAGCACTCGAGAGGCGGAGGCAAGAGGATTGCCTCCTGTTCACAGCCAGCCTGCGCTATAGCAAGGTCCTTTCTCAAAACAAAGTAAAGCAAAAATGCACAACACATTCATTATGGGATTCTAAATGCTACAAGCGTATGTAGGCAGAAAGAGCTTTTAAATTGCAGAAATCTGAGTGAGCATTTTAAAACTCTTTTGATTATACATGTGAGAAATTATGTCACGTATAAACATTCAGGTAAAATTTTTTACATGAATTATATAATGTCTCTGCAAACTTTGCTTTATCTTAGCTGTGCATATATTTGGTTTACTAATGAGGATTGACATTTAAACAAACAGAGTCTAAGTGACCGTGCTAGGAATTGGGAAGTCAGTCTACTGCAGTGTCCTCTCTCTTTCCTCAAGGCTAATTTTCATTGAAATTGGTTCCCAGGGTGACTCTGGGGAGACACTATGTTAGAAAGGAGAAGCAAGGATGGAGAGAATTTGTTGATAGTTTAGCAAAAAGAATTTTTCTATGGAAATAAGAATGCAGGTGGGAGGCTGGAACGTAATTTATTTACACAATGCAAAGAAACATTTTCCCAAGTGAGTATGCTAGCATGCAAAGCAGTAAATTGAAGTAATACTAAACATGAAATTATCAATGAGATTAAAGTTTGTAAGTGAAATTCTAAAGCCTTAACTTGTTCACTTTATACTAGTGAATCTCTGTAAAACAATGACATATTCTAAGCTTAAAATAAGGATGGGAAGAATAGTTTTAGAGGGTGAGGGGAATGGGGATAAAAGAAAAATTAATTTATACCGTGTTCAGGCCCAAACTCCCTACGATAAATGTAATCATTACATATAGCTCAAATGCACCCATAAAATAATTTTTTAAAGACTCAAGAGAAGTAGGCACTTGTTTACAATGCTGAAAACAAATATTGATTTAAAAAACACTTTACCTAGCAGGAAAACATTGTCTTGCAGTAAGGATCCAACTTTCCTTAATCAACGATCCTCCGCAGATATGTTTATTTCTAAGGAAAAGAGGGATATGTTGAAGTGTTACTGGTTTCGAAAAGTATCTGCTCAGTGTAAGACCCACGATATAATATTTCATTTATAAAAGTAAAGCAATCTTGCCAGACAAGTCATTTAGGGATCTGTAAAATATTTATAGGAAACAGTAAGTACTCGTACATTTATTTGCTGATACCCGAAAGCTGTAAGTCCATTCATTTTTGGCAGAACCACGGAAAAAGTACAACATTTCCTGATTTACATTTCCAAGGAATACAGATGTTCAGCTCTGGAGGATGATACTAGAACATTCTTAGGCTGAGAACACGGTTATTTATTGTCTCTACCACACAGGAGGATGAGAGTAGATACATTCTTGGAAGAACAACCCAACAGCTGTTGTTACTAAGAACATGGGCTTAAAGCAAACAATTCTAAAAGTTGGTAGTACCCTGACTTGATGAAAACGTTTACTTGGATCTTCAGGAACGAAGACTAACAAACATTTCTTTCTATATTCGATGAATATAACTCAAAAGTCTAAGTTGGTTTTCCTCTCCAGGGTTATGAGTTAGCAGTAACTTAAGAGATGTGAATTCTCGTAATATTTCTGATGATAAAAGACTTACAATTGTATTGACGTAATTAAATTTCTTTTATAAAGACCATTTTCTAAAATAAAATTAAACACTCAAAAGCTTTGGTCTTTATTAAATCTTCACATCACACAATCACTCACATTATTATTGGCTTCATAATTCCATTTCAGTACTGCAAACCTAGGACAGCTACACTAGAATCACTGGCATAAATATTACATCACCTAAAATACTCCTTGAGGGGAAGATACAATGGAGACAACTTTAAACCGTCTCCTGCAACATTACGGTCACTGACAGCTCTAACTCAAAGAGGTAAACTCTGCGCCTGCCAGGAATTGGCGGATTCGCAAAGGCTTCAGTTTCCAGTTGGCTCTGCTCTACGTTAATGTCACTGATAAGAGCAGACACACTGGAATGGCAACCAGAGATGTATGTCCTTGCACTCAGAGGCTCACGGTGAAGGAGCAGGAATGGCTGCTTGTTTGTTTGTTTGCTTTACAGAGAAGCCAGACACGTTGAGGTTGGAAGCTGGAGGCACATTCGGGCATGAGGCACTGCGGGAGGAAGCCACAGTATTTGGGGACAAAGGTTCAGACCGAGGAACAGAAGTGTCTACAAAACAAGGGAAAGCATGGTGGAAGTCAGCTGCCATGGAGTGTGCTGCAGGGTGACCTGACAGCACAGGAGGAGACACGATATTCCAGCGACCACAGAGACTCATCGCGAAGTAGGTAATAGGCGGCAACAACTTTGAAGTGCACTCAGATTTTCAACACCTAGTTCCTACGGCACAATTACTAAGCCTAATTCTGTAGTATGATATAATCTGCAAAGTGATTTTATGTGGAGCACGTTACTGATTCTTAAGACCATCAAGAAAGCCCACTTGTCCACACTGATTATAAAGTCAAGACTGTACAACTATTAAAAATGTGTTAATCCTTTTTGTGATGAAATACAGTGAAGTCTTAGAATGTCATTTTTTCATTTAATGCAAGAAATTAAAAATAAACATAACATGTCTGTTGTGATTACGTATAGACATGTTATAAAAAAACCCAGCATGCTTAAAATTGGAAAGTGAGTAGCATTTGTGTCCTAAATACCATGGTGCCATGCAGAAGTGGCTCTTTTACACAGTCGACTTTGTTTAGTCAGAGGCATAGTGGCTCTGGCACTCAAAGACAATGGCAACACATGTGAGCCCGGTGTGGACATTTAAACAACTGCCTGAGGCACCAGCTGCAGACGCCAAAACCCATGGTTTAGCCAGAGGCTGATCAAACCTCCTTTAGACCCCTCAGGTGAGGACCAAACCCTCTTTGAACTCCTCAGACCAGCACCTGGTGGAGGGCATACACTTCACCCTCAAGCGACCACGCTGCTGGGAACAGGACTTTGCAAAGAGTTCAAACACGTATATTCGGGTCTATGAATAATTACCTGTACTTCAGACTAACCATCCATCCTACGTTTGTTCGTGTTGGAATCCCATTAACTACTCGTAGTTGCTTTGTTTTGGCACAAGATATTACAGGATCTGAAAACAGGATCAAACAGCATTAGCATAACAGTGGGAAATAACCAGGGCTTCTTCAAACTTTGGGTTCACTGATAGCTGTGCACACGTAAGCTTTGGTCTGCAATTGCATCAGAACACTTGTAAAAGGGGTGACATATGATCTTAGTGCCACATCCAGCCCTAGAATTGTCAACCTCAAGTCTGTCATTGACAGAAAACCAAATGGGCTCAAACCAGCTAAGATTCATCATGATGGTGACAGGGCCTTTGCTCAGCCCGCATTGAAACTTAATTCTTCAAGAACACTATTAATGTGTTGCCTTTACTGGCCTCCAAATAAAATGAAGCCATTTAGACTGGTTATATCTGCAGCCACCCACAGCATGATCAAAACAAAGCAGCGCAATTTAGTTATTCGGTGTTTGTAACAGTAAGAATGCAGAGCTTTTTAGAACATGTTGTCAGCGTTGGACTGCCTGAGACTGTATCCAAATGACAGTATCACATCTAAGTCACCATGTCCCAGGGTCTAACTCAGAATCTCAGAGAGAACAACTCTCGGGCCCTCCTCTGTGCCCCCACCTTACCCTTTACACTCTGTCCACATCTGGAATATCTTTTCCTCTGATTTCTCAGCCTGCACATGGCAGGTGATCTTTTCAAAGAGTAGCTTGTTTCAGTCCCAGAAATATGAGAAAATTAAAACCAAGCAGCTGGCAGGCGATCCTCCCACTGAGGACTAACTGGACTTCTCTGCCTGCATCGCCTTCTGCCTGAAGGCGGTTGGCTTACACACAGCTTTAAAGACCGAACCAGGTGCTGAATGCCCTCCTCCGGTCCCTGAGCTCGTTCTGCTGGGCTCGGAGACTGAGCTCAGTTGGAGGGGGGGGCACATAAAAGAGGCCCTTTATGTACCATGCCCCCAAATAAAGGTAAACATCACTGCTGTTTTCGAACTCATGCTAAATAGCTTGTAAATTTTCTTATAGAATTGAGTTTTAAGTCTCAGAATGTAACTATCTTTGAGTCTCTTATATCTGCACTTAGGAAAATTCATACTTAATAAAAAGTAAAGTAATTGCTTTACTTTTTATGATGGACATCATTAAAGTGATATTTACTCTGCAAAACATGACACCATATTTTTATGAAAGAGATGCAGGTAGACTTCATAGTCAGAAAGATTACTCACGGTCTAAATTGATTGTAGGCGTGGTATCCCCTTCACCTGTAAAAATAAGTGTTTAGGTACATTAATAATTCTGTATGTCTTAATACAAAATCATCGTTATACATTAAAACGAAGTATTTAGGAACTCTACAATTTGCTAAAATCTTGATATTTTATTAAATATAAAACAAAATGTCTCATTTTGAATAATTTTGTATCACTTCCACGGGGCAAGCTCACACGCATGAGGAAAGTCTGATGTCCTGAATGGGAGGTGGTCAGGTGTGCGGGACCCTGAGTTACACACAGCAGTAAGGCGTGGTCGGGCTCTCCCTAGGACAGGTCCCCTTCGTGGGGCAGAGGACGCTCCCTGCGGACTGGCTGGGCCTCACCTATGAATAGGTCACTTTGCTGTCACTGTAGCTTGAACTGCGTAATTTTTAAACAAAAATTGTTTTACTTTGATATGGTTTGGTATAATTAAATCTCTTCATGCCTTGGAACTTTTGGAAAGATAGGAATGCATGTCTCTTTTGGAAAAAGAAGGATGATAACATGTGTTCTTCGAATACTTCAAAGATTGGGTTTTTTCCCCCAGATGTTAGTAAAAACAAATATGGAAAAATAAAACGCTGGAAATGACACACTGATTCTACCTTACGTCCTCATAACTTACTTCGTTTTCATGACCTCTCTACTGGGATTTAATTGCTTTAAGAAGAAAGGCTTGGAAGACACTAGGAGTTTGGAAATGCTTGTGCAGTAATAAACAAGACATGAGACATTCCCCAAAGATTAATATCTAGCAGCTCAGAATTGATGGGAGAGTTGGTCAGACTCCATGCAGACCCAGCTGGGCTTTAATCCTGGAAATGCCCTGAGCTCGGACATAGAGGACAAAGCTATCATGGCGCATGGGTTCCTTTGGAATAATTGCAAATTTTATCATTATTTATGAGACTATGAGAGAATCCCTACACACTAAAAGGTTTTTATTTATTTTCATTTTCCAGATCTAGGTACTGTACATGGATAAAGATAAAGAAGAACCTATAAATTTTACCATTTTCTTTTCACTTTTGTTTATCCTGGAGAAAAGTTCTGTTAAAGAGTCCACCAAAGTCTGCATTTTAGTTTGTAATGCAAAGTGGAACCAGGGTAGAATATGATCATCAAGGGCTGTTTTTTCTACTCAAGTCAGTTACTCATAAGCTTCAAACATTTAGACATCTACTCTTTGTGTTGTTACAAGTACATCTCCTCTTCGTGTTCCTATCCTGAGTTTCACATTACTTCTTCTCTTTCCAAACATCAGCATAATTGATCAGCACAGAAATCCGCTCATTATTAGATGCTACTCAAATATGTAAAGTTTGACACATTTGCAGGTGTTATAAATTTTAGGTTTTAATAATAATATATTAAAATAAATGACATGGGCCATGCTTCTTCAAATAATCCTCGCTCTCTGTGGTAAGCTGGAATACCACCAGGAATCAGACTTCTGGCGACTGTGGGTTTCTGAGATCTTAAAAAACACAAGGCAGCTAGTGTGCAGACGCTGTTCTCCCGCCTGTCCACTGCTCACTCTTGGGCAGGACCCTTTCTTCTGTCGCTGCACAATTTAAGTATAGGATTTGACTCAAAACGCTGAGACAGTGTGCTTTTACCATATTCTTAAAGTTTCCACTTCGGTACCAGACTTAAAAACATCACGTATTTTTCCAGGTAAATATCTGTGTTTGCATTTTATTGTATATACTAATGTTTTACTATGTAATTATATTGTTTCATAATCATTTCTGTAAATGTTTCCTCTCTATGCTGTAAGGTATTTGAGGTTAAAAAAAATCTATAGTTTTTGTACACCTATTTAGGATTTCATACACAACACAAGCTCAACAAAACATATGAATGCATGAATAAATAAAATCAGAAAAATGAAATTTTTGAGTACTTACTACATAACAGGTACAGCCTAATATAATAGACATCTTACTGCACTGTTGTTTGAATTAAACAGTAGTCATAAATAAGTAACTTGCCCAAAGTACTTACAAACTGGATGGACTAAGATTGCTCCTTAGGATCTCTGAGTTGAAATTTAGCTACTATATTCTTAACAGTTAATAATAAGTTTTTTCTAACATATATTAGACATATATATATGCAGATTTATAGGATTGTACATTTAAATTTCATGTTTGATAAGCTTAAACATGTATGTCAAATGTTACATTGCAAATCGTGTTTTGTAAAAAATGAATAAAAACATTTAAATATTTTGTGTGAGAAGTGTACAGTGTGAAAATGATTAATATAGTCTCAGGTTAAATAAATAATTAGAACTCAAATATTTTAAAGATAAATGTTATTAGCTTTTCAACAAGAAGAAAGTGCAAATAAGTTTTGACTATAAATATCAGTTCTAAAGATGATAGTGTAAAAATATTTATTGAAATTAAGTCTCAGGATACATGGTAATAAAAATGAGTTATCTCCAATAGCTTTTAATCAAATAATAGCACCTCCTCAAATCTTTCAACTGCACATTGGTCACTTTTAGTTTAAAAAGACTAGTTGAAAAATTTTTTGGAAAACTTTAAAATTATTAGAGAACATCTCCCTTGTTTGATTTTATAAACACAGTCACACAGCCCTGAGACTCTGAGATCACTTTACATCTAATTAAACATAGAAGGTTCATGGGCCGCACCGCACTGCTGCAAGTTGCACAAAACAGAACTTCAGTGGGAAAGCAATACACACATTCTAGGTACAAGATCACTTTGTTTTCAACTCCCCCCTGGATCACTGCATATTTTTTATGTGCCTCTAGCATTATTAATCACGGAGACTTCAGACAAAGATACTGTGAGGTAAAACCACTATTTAGAAAAAATGAGGTTAGGTTGTAGGTCAGAGATAGAGTGCTTGCCTAGCATTTTTAAGACCCTGGGTTCAGTCTTCAGTGAGAGATGGGGAGAGAGGAAGGAGGAGGAAAGAAGGGGAGAGGAGAGGAGAGAAGAGGAGAGGAGAGGAGAGGAGAGGAGAGGAGAGGAGAGGAGAGGAGAGGAGGGGAGAGAAAGGAAGGGAAGGGGAGAGAGAAGAGAGATCTTTCAGTCTTTTCAAAGCTCCCTTGCTTTCTGCAGAAGTGGAGAGGCTGTCTCGGGCCTGCCTGGGTCACTCATGGGTGAGAAACTCTGCCACCCCACGCAGTTCTGCTGTGCTCAGTGGCTGCATGCATGGATACACGGACGTGGATGTGGTTGGGTGCATCTTTCCCGCCCTCGTGTATTGGAACCACCATTTATTGCTTCTGGATTCCAATTGGGAAGCTTTCAGGGGGGGAAAAACCCTAAATTCAATCAAGAGTCCCTTCTGATCTCCAAGCAAGCTGGTGATGGTGTGTCTGCATGCGTGTGTGTGTGGTGATCACACCCATAGAGAAAGGCAGCAGTTGAGACTCCTGTGTCTGAGCAGGGTGTGTCTGTCTTCATGAATTGCTGTCTGAAGAATGTCCTTAGTTTGAAATCAGCTCCTGAGTACGTAATATTTACAGCACTGATTAAGAAATAATGTTAGCAGAGACTCAGTACACTGAAAATACTTCAGCTGAAAAGTCCCAGGGACTGTACTTACAGTGGGAAATGGGGCAGTAATCCCAGGGGATGAGAGGGTTCCCCGTGTAACACCAGGGTCCGTGGGCATCGTCGTCTGGATTCCGGCAGTAATTCTTGTTCAGCTTACTGGCATCCGGCTCCCAGAAGATGTGACTGTGTGAACAACAAGCCAGACCTCAGAAGGAGCTGTGAGAAGATGCAGCCCCACACATCCCTTCCCGGCAGGGCAGGCAGGCACTGCACAAGCTGCTGCTCGGTGTGGCTCTCTGTTACTTTGCCAGGATCGGTACAGTTTCACTTGGGACCATTGGTTTCTATCCTCAGAATATCACTGGACAGATTTTCACAGACTGGCTTCCAGACAGGATTTTCATACACAATATGATGAGAGATTTGGTGATTTGGCTTCTACTTAGTAACTACAATGGCAAATGACAGAACCTGTGCATAGAAGTGGAGAAATGCCGTGCAAGAATAAGAAAGTATGTTCACGTTTCAGATGCGTAAGAATCAACACTAGCACTATCACTGGCACAAACAACCAGAAAATATTCTAAAGAGTAATAACAAAGTGCCAGCGAAGTAATTAAATTCTAAAATCTTATTGGCCATATAGCTACAAAATCTATCTTCCCAACAGATAAGCAAATAACATTTCAGCCTTTCTAAGTTAACAGAATCCTCAAGCCCAACTTCTTCCTTGCACAGTTTGCTCTTCAAAATGGTACCCTGCAGCTTGAGAGTTCATTAATTTCCTGAGCCTTTTTTTCCAAGTCACTTTTAAGTATTTCCAGAAATTAAGCTTCAACTCCCTGTAGTGAGGGTTACTGCCCCGGGGTTCCCTGCGTAACCAGCGCTGTCTGCAGTGACCAGCTGGCCATGCGGAGGAATCATCCTCACAGGTGCGGTAGGGGAGTCCTCTTTGGAGGCCCTGCTGATGTCTGTGGTGTAAACACTTCCACATGAAAACTTCAAGCTTCCAATGGGAAATCCCTAAGCAGCCTTGGCAGGAGATGGGAACAATTATCTCTCAATGTTTTGAAGATCCAATCTACCCCCGCTCACCACTGCCTATTCCTAAAAACAGTTTTGAAAACAGCAGTGTCGAAATCAGCTTTTAGTTTAAATTATGCAAATTCTTGTTTCAATTTTCTCTACTGAGTCATCTGAATGCTTAGGATAAAATCAAAACTCTTCCCCCAGCTGACAGGGCTTTTGTAAGATGGTAGAGCCTCCGCAGAACGTCTTCTCTGTGGACCCAGAGCGAATTATAGTCTCTCAGCCTGGCCAGAATCATTTCTAATTGTCACACTTTAATCTTTCCTCTCTTCTGCATTTCCTTTGGCCAAATGCTGCCTCTCCTGCTAATGTCTGCCCCTCAGGAGGGCTTCATAGTCATCAGCGTCAGGGACAGTTCCGCCTTGCCTACCCACCTCGTGAATCTGCGTTTACGTATTTACACCATGGTGAGGGACATCCCTGTCCTCCTCTACTGGACCTTGAGATCCGTGAAGGTCAAACTCTGTCTTTTAAGTCATAAGATTTTGACTTCCAGTGCTGGAACCCGTGAGCATGTATGGTCCCTGACAAAGTGACAGGTGATCAATGCTGGTCCAAAGGTGAACTGGTAATGGTAACCAGAACTGGTAACCAGGTAAACTGGAGCCAGATTTTCAGTGTGTTGTACATTATGAAGCAGGACATGAGATGTCACTGAAAATGTTTGTATTGAATATGTACTACAATAAAAAATCTTTAAATATACAGTATTGGGTTAAATAACATACTGAAAATACGATTTGTTTATCCATCTTTACTTCTTTCCAGTGGCTGTTAACACAGAAGTTTACAGGTAGCTTATACTCCTGCGATGTGTTATATGTATATTAGAAAGTACTGCTTCAGAGCTAACAATATTGTGGAATAACGGAATGGAGACAATCCACCCTGAGAGCAGGAGCAGGCACTGCTGAACGCACTGTGGAGGGGAAAAAGGACTCGGAAATTTAAGTAAGAGAAGGAAGGTGACTGGACTTCTCAGAGCCTGAAGTCCTTATCCTCATGTGGAATTCTTCCCCAGAATGCGGTCCGTCAGACGGCACCAGCACTCCTCTGGAGCAGTGCTGTGACAGGCCCTTCACCGACACTTGACCTTCTTTTCCCTCTGTTGTGTATATTCTGGGATGTTTACTTGAAATCTGGTTTAAGTCACAATGACGTGTCACACTTGTTTCGTAATTTTATAAACAGCAAGACTATTCTGAGAGCCCAGGGGGAATTTCTTTGTAAATATGTTCAATATGAAATCTTCAATTTTCTGAACTACATAGATTTTTTAAAGTGGTATATACATTCCTGAAATAATGGCAAAATCTTATGTAATGAAGTTGTACAAAAAATCTGTTTCCATCATTTTAATAGATATTAATTAATATGTATCTGAAAGTGATTTATGGATTTTTACAAACTGCTCTTAAGGTTAATTTTACAACAACAATCCTTTAACATGCCCTATTTGAAACCCCACATATGCCACGTAATGGGTGTTCAGTGTGACCAAATCCTCCTTGAAATGGGAAACTAAAATGCGTACCAGTTTGTTATCGCTAATCCTCATAAGGCCAGTCACCAGCAGGCCACACAGTAAGTACCCAATAAACGCAGGCTGGGGGGAATTGTGTGTAAAAAGTTTTCCCCATGCAGAGGCAATGCTATTAGCTATATAGGAAAATAGATTTAATGTTTTATTGGTTTACTAAGACAAAAGGATGGAAAACAGTAAGAGCATGTGGGTCCACATGCAGGTAACCATTGCCAACCCCCGCCCGTGTACTCCTATCCGCCAGCCAGTGAGCCCCTAATATCCCCCGGCCCGTGTACCCCGGCCCGTGTACCACTGCCTTCCCCTGCCCATTTACCGAAAGCAGTATACACACCGGTGCAAGTCTTCCATGTTCTTGTCCCACATGGAACACGTTAGCCCAGATCTTGTTTTGGATAAACTACCCATATAATTTTTTCCATTCCCACGATAACAATCTAGACATAAAACACAAAAAAGACAAGTCATGAATACAATGAGGGGTACAGTGAAAATGTCTTGTATGTATACAAAGCCATGAAAAGTAACATGATTAAACAGAATACCTGAAGTCCGTAAAACTGGACACCTACAGAGCTCAGATGGAAATCTATCTCCAGCTCAATTTTTATTCCATAAAAATAAGTACCTCTACGAATTCAAATATTACAAACAATAATAAACCCAAAAAGTTCGATGAGCCACTCATGAGGGTACCAAAGAGAAGACGACTTGTAGATGGATGTAGGTATTTCCTAATGTTTCCTTCTGACCGATTTCTTTCTGCAGAAGGGCTGCAAGAGCAATGGGAGGAGGGACAGAGACCCTGCGGTCCTGGTCCTGCGGGGCTCCCTGAGTCACCGCACAGCTGCTCTGCACTCTGCTCACCACTTCCTCAGGGCTGGGACCAAGTGAAAGACGCTGGGCTGTACTCTTGCAGGGTGCCGCTCCCCGGCCTGTGCAGGCCACAGCAGCCTATGTGACGAGGGACATGGGTTTGGTCGTCAGCGCTGATGCAGTTGATCCAGGTGCTAAGTGGCGTCAGGGAAAAGCTTCCCTCTGCACTTAGCAAAACCAGTTCAGGGCTTTCAAAACCGAGTAAACATTCAACTGCCAAACAAATTTGCACAAAACGGCTTAAGTGTACTTCGCTGAGTTTCCAAGCATCACTTATCCATGGGTTGTTTTTCTAACTGCTTCCTATTTATTACTGGATATTCTTTGGTAAACAGGAGCTTCCCTCCTTAATCCTTCTTGGGACTCAAGAGATGCAGCTACAGTAACAGAAATGCTGCGGCTAGCAGACCTGGAAACGAAGTGTGGGCGCTGCATTCTCTTCTCACTCAGGGTGCTGCGCGATCTGTGCCTGTCATTCATTTTTTATGCTCAGTGATCACTGGGCCAATTACAGCCACTTTAGCTGGACTCCCCTCTTACCATACCCAGGAGGTTTTATTTCCTGTCATTTAATTGAGCAATCTGTGTCCCATTAGCATTGATAGAAGTGCCCAAGTCCTTAACGAACATAAATTAACACTGTACATTATTAATCTATACTTAAACAGTAACAGCCCACGGTGATGGCATAGGTCTGGAATCCAGTTAATCCAGGGGCCTGGCCAGACTGGACAGGGAGGAGACAAGAGGTGAAATCGTGCCTCAAAATAAAGAATGAAATGACGTAGGGATGCAGCTCAATAGAAGCCCGCGTTCCATCCCTGGTGCAGAGAAAAATAAAAGTACACAAGGAAAGAAACAGCATCCCATAACAGCTGCCAATTAAAAAGTGACTTCATTAAACATTCCTAATTTTACGTAAATAAAATAGAGATATGGCTGTAAAATGTTATCTACAAATACACACTAACATTATGGTTATTCTCTTTTTCCGTTTAGTAAGATGTGGCACCTTGCCTTTGGCTTTAAAATGTCCTAAGTGATTACAATAAATAATAGGTAACCAATCCTATTAAAACTGATTAAATGAATTCGATCGTTTCTGGGAAATAGTTAAAATAGTCAGAAAATAGAATGCATACATTCAATGATCAGAGTTCATATCTTTGAATCAAATCTGTATTTCTGATCTAAGGCTTTGCACTTAAACATAAAGACTCAGTGTCTAGAACTTGTTATAGATAAAATATTGGTCATTACAGGACCTTATTACCCTGTCACTGGACAGCAGAATCTGGTGAGACTCGGTATTTACACATCTGAAGAGCACTCCAAGGAAAACACTTCCCTCTGACAACACCACCTTTTCATATCAGGAAGTGTGACCCTAGGGCTGTTGGGGAGGAATCTTTAGATCACCCTTTGCCCATAGAAACAAGGTCGCAGGGTTTTCTGACAAAACTAAGCAGAAATTTATACAACGTATACAAAAAATATAATATGAATGTACAAATATATGGGTTTATATAAACACTCCCTCAATATTTCTTTGTCTTTTTCTTTTTCTAACTTTCTTTTTGGTACCAGGGATGGAACTCAGGGCCTCCTGTGTGCCAGGCTGTTGCTTATGCTGCTGAGCTAATTCCCCAGGCCCTGTGCCTTGTTTTTAATCTGCTCGTGCATGTGGACACCACACAGGTCAGCCAGTGGAGAGTTGTACTTTTCGCACACCCGCCACGCTCCACACAGGTTATTTCTCCATCACTGCTAACACTGAGCTGAAACCCCCGTGCCTGTTCTTTGCATAGCGTCAGGACTGTGCACCCATCATGCACTGTTGGACCAAATCTGTGCAGTTTCCGCTTTCACACTCAGATCTTTTATCCATTTCAGGTTTCTTTTTAGGAATGACATAAGAGATGCCAATCTTATCTTTTTTTTTTCCACATAGGCATTATTAGATTTTAAAGCTTCATGTTTCATCCAGTGGCAGGTCATCCTGTACTAATATTATAAATATCTGTAGCACTTGGGTTTAGTTTTAGACTGTGCAACATTCTATTTGTCAATATCTTCAGAATCTAGAGGTACAACCTTTTAACTATAAACTCCTTGTAAAATTATTTTACTGCTCACAGAGTTAATTCTTCTACATCCTCTCGTTTTCAAGGCTTTCTCTATCGTATTCTGTCATGGCAGGTCTCCTAATTTTACCCCAAAGCTGCACATACCTACAGATGGGGCTTTCCAGAAGTGGCTGGGCTGAGTGTGTGATAACTCAGTTCACTAATTAGTTTACCGTAGTTCTGGATGTTCATAATGGGAAGACACATCCAATAGCCTTGTAGACTGGATGTGATAAGGGTCCAGAAGGCTTGCTGGTAGCTGCCTTTCCGCCTGCCACGCCATGGACTGTTGCTCCTCCGTGACGCCCCGCTGCCATGCCGCTCTGCTTTGCAGCCCGCCAACCATGGACTGAAACCTCTACAAACCGTGAGCTAAATAACTCTTTCCTCTTTTAACTTTTGAGTATCAGGAATTTTGGGCCAGCAGCAAGCCAATAACCAAGACATACTTTAAAAAGTTTATTAGTTGAGAACTTTAAAATAAATGTACTTAGTATCACAAAATGTTTTTAACTTTGCATTGAATTTAAAGATTAGCTTAGGGAGAAATTATATACTCATGACATTGAATTATAATATCAAGAACAAATGATATTTATCTACATGTTTTATGGGTTTTAAATTAGTTAAAATTTTTCTTACGAAGATTTTATACCTTTTTTCTAAATTTATTCCTATAATTCCTTAAACTTTGTTTGTAGCATAGATGATGTTTTCTCTTTTAATCATCAAAGATATATCTATATAAAATGATATTTCCATACAGATTGTATTTTCTGTCTTAAAGTACATTTTATTGCACAACTTCTATTTTCTAGATGTTATTATTATAACATTTACACAGAGATCTTTCACATTTTATTTCCAACTGATATATCTTCTTGTCTAGTTGTTTAGAGTCATATCTTCAGTAAAATGTAAAACGTAAAGCAATGTCAAATTTCATTTATAATACTAAATGCTCACAGAGACAGTAGGTATAATTTTGACATTAGAATATCTCTAATTTGTATTCTTTAAATGATGATTTTATAGTAACATATATATGTATTTTGTATATATGTACATAAACATATATGTGACAACATGCTGTAAAAGTGTGTATATGTACTGTGTGATGTCTATACTTTATGCTGAAATATGATTATGTGTTAAGGAAGTCTATGTATAAATAAGTACGCATGGATGTTTATGTATATGTGTATAAAGAACATGAATTCTTGCCTAGCTGAATACTTTTTAAAGAATGAGTAAACTTTGTCACAGAAATTTCAGAACCTCTTGAGATTTATCATAATGTTTTCCATCTAATTTTGCTAATAGTTTCTATTACTTAAATGCTTTTCATTCTTAAATTCTTTTTAACCATTATGTACTTTTTCTAATTTTTTGTTGGATTCTTCAAATTACTTAATGTTGATAGAAATATGCAAAAATGAGACAGTTTTATAGTGGCTTTTATTCTGTGCTATCTGTATCATGTTTAGGTGCCTTATTATAACATAAAAAGTTGCAAGTTTTATTGTGTTTGGTAAGTATGGGTGTAGAGTACAGTTCTGAGAATGTTTAATGTATGAGTATGCATCTGGGCATGGTGTATTTGATAAAGTAATTCTTTAAAGAAATATGTATTCCTTTTATTAGAATAAATCCACCTAAGATTTCTATATCATCCACATTTTCAATGTTTTTACATTAAGTTAAATAAACTGAAAACCCATGTTTTCTAATTTTCTTGTTTTCATGGTTATTTCCTCTTTAATAATTATTCCTCTATATATTTTTCTTCCTCATGAATCAGTTTGTAGACTATTTTGTCATTTTTTAAAAACATGCTGTTTGGGGCTGGGGATTTAGCTCAGCGGCATAAGCGCCTGCCTTGCAAGCAGGCAGTCGTGAGTTCAATCCCTGGTACCGATCAAAATGAAAAAGACAAAAAAAACAAAAAAACAAAAAAACAAAAAAACATGCTGTTGATCTATTTATGTGTTTAGTTCTAAAGTTTAGAACTAGTTTATAACTAATCATTTATTTGTTTAGTTCTTTTATTTTCTCAACCTTATTAATAATTCCCTTTCGTTTTGCCTATTTCTTTCTCATGTTTGTTTGGCTTACTTCTACATCTACCCAGTTAGCTAGAGATTTCATTCACTTATTCTCCCCATTTGGACACCGATACAAATATTTGAAATTAAGGACTGTCCTCTGTGTCTTTCCTTAAGTGTATCGTGTAATCTCTTAAGTACTGTCTTGTCAACACTTTCAAGCAACTCTACAGCTTCAGTTTTACTTTCTAAAATAGTGTCACTTAATGTCTTGTTGGAACAACATTAGTGTGCATTCAGATATTATGAAATTTTAAAAGAGGTTTCCGATTATTAAACTCCATGTGGAATTTACATTTCCTGTCGTATGGAGAGTGGGAAGAGCAACATACACGCATGTGTGTCCCGATTTCTGTGTCTGTTAGACCTACAGGTGGGTTGCGATGCCTCCTGAGCACAGCAGCGTCGCGGTGGTTAGAGCTCCCCAGCTGGGCTCTGAGCTGGCTGGCAGACGTGGTGTGAACGGTGGGTCTACGCCTTCTTCTAGAGCAAGCCCAACAGCGTGTGCCAAGTGCAAGACATCACAAAAAATGACAGTATGACGTACAGTTGGAGAGTGAATTAAAGGGGAAAACATGGGAGATAAGCAAAAAGGTCATTATGCAGAAATCAGGCTGAAGCCCGTTTATACTGATTTGAGAATTTAGAGGAAAGGATTTAAATCATATGAAATTATTTCAATCTGTTATTGAATAGATCTATTAGGTAAGTAATAGGAATTATTAAACTCCAAGGTACCATATTATCCACTCCTGTCACCTGAGCCTCTTCCACGTGACACACAGGTGTACACACAGCTTAGTGCACACCAGAAGCTCATCGAGTAATTGTGAGTGTGACGGGGGTGTAGAGTCCTCCACTCGTACCAGACACCCCTCATTACTGTTCCAGCTGCACGTCCCACTGACTCAGATCTTCCCAGGACAGAAAAGGCTGAGAGGGGACCCACACCCCACCCCTGTCCAGTGGGGCCTGAGGACCTGCACAGACTGGGGGCCTGGATAGGAGGTGGCAGGGGGCGGAGAGGGGACAAGCCGTCAGATAGGGTTGCACTTTGGGGAGACTTTAAGACCAACTGTGACCAGGACATTGTTTTTAAGTTTATGTGAAATAAATATATGATCATTTAAAAAATAGAATTCTCAACTGGTCATCCACCAAAAAATGTCCAGAGTCAACACTATTATGAATCATTTACAAATTATTTTAAATTAATTTCAATATCATACTCCTACTGTTTTCTGAATAGCATGAAGCATCTCGCGGTTTGCAGTGGTGATTAATTTTCCCCAAACCAGAGCACTGCGCATCAGCCAGCTAACACCTGGGACGGGTCCTCTCCACTCAGCAATCGGCGCTGATCCTCCTGTTTCAACCCTTGTAGAGAACCCTGACTATTTTTCATGAGGCAGCCAGAGAGACTCGCGAAAACTAAGACCACCAAGTAACTTGTCCCAGAACTAAGCCAGCATTCAGAGCTCCAGTGTGAATCCTAACTATGCCTGCCATGCCCGACAAAGGCATCTCAGAGCCCTCTAACCTCTGTCCCTCCGTGCCTGCCACAGTGTCCTGTGCACTTATTGTCTGAGTTCTCAGACTGGCCTCCGAGCTTCCCTGTATCTCCCTGGTGTCCAGCCTGTGTGGCTGCCTGGACCTGGGTGGAGTATGAGGACCGTCTTGAACCACATATAAAACACCATTAACTAAGCTTCCTTTCAAAGGCTCGATTGTAACACTTCTAGGATCAGTGGTGCCCTGTATGTGAGGAGACAGAAACAGCTGGGCAAAATGCCGCTTGACACATCTGTACATCCTGTACCTCAGCTGCTGAAAACTATTTTAACTTATTCAATTATTTACTAAACAATGCGACAAGCCAATGTTTAGTAATCACATAGGAAAGCTTACATGTCTGCTAAAAAGCAATAAAATTCCTCCTCTCACAGGCACACACACACACACACACTTTCACACGTAGGGAAGTTGAAATACTATTATCCAGAGTTGCTACTCTACTCGCTAGCACATAAGTGCTTGTAAAATCTGATTCACGCCTTTCCACGAGACCCCCCAAGAGCCCCCCCGTGTGTGGCGGCTGCAGGAGGCTGAGTGGGCACCGCCCTGCGCCTTCCTCTGCACACTCTTCGGGCCTCTACAGGCATACGGAGCACCATATGACTGAATCGTGAAAAGTACGTCCAAACTCACCTCAGTTTGCAGTCAGCCAGGCCACATTCCCCGTGCTCTGGGCCCGCAGGCAGCCTGCAGGCCACGGGTCAGACACACTGCTCCACGGGCACCCATCACATCTCATGTCTCCCTCCCTCTGCTCTCGCTCGCCTGTGGCCCTAGCACATGGAATTCTGTGCAATTCTCCCCTCACATTTAGCACACATTCGCACACAAGCTCCCACCTCCTCTTCCATTCTGCACGGGCTCCGACTCCTGGAAAGCAGAGCTCTGGGGCAGAGACTCTCATTTTGTACCCAGGTCTATCTCCAGAGCCTGGAACTGTCTGTGCCTGGCACTCCAGGAATCCATGCTGACAGCAGCATCCAGCCTGGGAGCCTCCTGCCAGCAGGCAAGAACCACAGAACAAGACGAGACCCAGGCCATCAACCCTGCCCCTCACCCTGCTGCGCTGCCAGTGCCAGCAATTACCTTGTCCACCTGACACGTCGCACTTGGGGATCTGGGAGCAGTAGCCAACTCGGATGTTCGGGTCGGTGGTGAAGCACCAGGGCGACTCAGCGCCGTCTGGGTTTCGGCAGTAATTCTCCCGCAGGTCCCTGTGAAGAACAAGGGTGTGCTTAGCTGCTGAAATTAGTGCGGGTCCGATTCTGGATGGCAGGATGCTGCAGGTTTATGAGCAGAGCCCTCAGAGCCCTCAGGGTAAGGACAACAGGGTGCACTCAGACCATGTAACTGACGCTGACCATGTGACCAAACTGCATGCTATCACACACAGCCTCCCTTTTCTTTCAGTCCTGGAGCTGCACACAGCGGGTACAGCTGCCTGGGAGAGAGAGGCAGCTCTGGGACACTCCCTGCTGTGACCTCCATGGGCACAGCGAATACGGAAAGGACACGCATCTCTCTGCGGAAGAAAAGGCTCCCAACAGTCACCAGTCACTTGCTGCAAATTCACAGTCAGCTCACTCCCACGTGCACCACCATAAACATGCCAGCTATTTCTTCCTTGAATTCTGTATTGCTTGGATGCATTTTATTTGCTGCCTAGATTTCTTTCAACAACACATTAGCTGTTTCTGGACTGAGAAGCTTTATCTGAGCTCTTTATGTTTCTGGAAATGTAAGCCCTATTTATAGCACTGAAGCCTAATTATAGAACAAGATTTCAGTGTAACGCATGTATATCTTTTATTTTATCCACATTTTAATTTTATTTTATCCACATTTTAATTAGAAATGTAGAGGCATCTATAAGGAAAAATTATGTTCATATTTGCTATAGTAAACAGAATTTGGTGGTTTTCTATCTTCACATAAGGTTTACATCACATAAACTGTGAAATTTATGGTTTGTTTTCCTGAAATATGCTCTTCAATTTTAAATGTAAGCATTTATTTTCTTTTCGATCCCTGGGTAATAACTTTACTAGATTAATATTCAGGGAATGAGACCGCAGCACTGGGAACCTGGGTCCATGCAGCAGTAGGGCAGTCTATCAATGCCCACGTGGGCTACCAGAAGCTGAAGGGGTCTCAGAAAGAAATCTGTACCCAAGTAAGAAGTCAGCACCTAATAGTCCATCTCCTCAGTGTCAGTTTTGTCAGAAACTGTGTGATTAAACAATCTGGGGCCGTGATTTTCTGTGAGTAAAGCCAGTACACTGAAAGTGTTCATCTAATAACTTATATTCAAACTTTTCATCTTCTGATAAAGTTATTAACTGGAATAGATGAAGCAAACCTTTCTTTAAAGTGTTGTTAAGTTTCACATAGAACCTATATAAATTTGCAGTTATAGATAAGGAACTGTTTTGCAAAATTATCTTGTATTTTCAAATTAAGTGAATCCCTAAGGCTCTCAAAACTCTCAGTGTGCCCACTTATGGCTCTATATCTAGAAACACCTCATTAGTCTAGATTGAGCCCTAAATAAGGGTTTACCAAAATATCTTCCTCATGCTCTTTTGCTCCACTTGAGGAATTATTTATAATTACTAAAATGAATTTTTAATTACATGATTCATGTATACTCATCACAGACATTTATGCTCCACTATAGTGTTTTTAAAATTGTCATTTGTAAAGAGTCTCAGGATTGGGGCAAAAAATATTTACTAGAACTCAACACACCTGATGAATGCTCCCTGTTCTGCTAGATCAAAAATAGTAAATGCTAAATTAATATTCTGAGCAAAATAGTTAGTTACAAAGATATCATGTAGTTTATAATTGTGTATTTTTATTATGTTTGATTTTTTAATATTTTATGTTTATTTTTAAATAGTATTTAAATTTTTAAAATTTTAAAAATATTTGTATTTGATTTTTATGATTGCATGTTTTGTCCTCGAATGAGATATTGTAAGATCAATGGATTCAATTTCTACAACCATCCTCTTTTATCTTACTTATACAATTCATTGGGCCTGTCACATACGGAATTTTTATTTGTATACTGCCATTTATTACATTTAGCATGAGTGTGAACAGCATCACTCCGCCTCCTCTACCCTTTCTGGGTAATCTTCTCACATTTTCTCTGCTTTCTTTGCTTTAAGATTTCTGAGGTATAAGACTCATGGATTAGCAGTGCAGAATAAATTGCTATGGAAGAAACAAGGATATAAAACCAGGTTAACAAGTAGAAATGTTGTTATAAAATAATTTAAAAGCTAACATATGAATATTTACCATCGAAACAAGTTACTAGATTTGGTAAACACACACACACACACACAGGCACTCCTCCTAAGTCCCAGGGATGGGCCTCTCATGCTTAAAGCTCTCCATTAAAAACCAATTACATAAAACCAGTGTTCTTTAGTCACACGTGCTGTTTCAGCCCAGCCACTCTGGATGACACGTGTGCTATAAATCTCAAAAGCAATCACTTTATGTTCCTCTTAACAAGGTGGACCATTTAAAAACACATGGGTCCGGCTGACAAAGCCAAGTGGTGAGGAAGAGCAGCCACGGGGCGCGCTCTCCACAAGGCTGTGATCCTCTGGAGGCCGGGCTCCCTGTCCCCCCATTCATCTTAGCACCCCACCACCCCCTTACCCTGGTTCCCACCACCACTGGAAAGAGATGGCCAACAGAATTCTGTTCATCAGCGCCTGAAGCTGCAAACTTATCAGTGTGAAGCATTGAATAAGTCTAGGTGTGTTTCTCTCTAAAAAGCAATATAACCGCTGGCCAAGCCAATATGAAACCGCGAGAAGGCACTGGTTTCTAGCATGAAGGTGATCGTGGCCATTGCGCGACTTAATATCGTCCTTCAGGAGTAAAGCTGTGATCAGAAATGCCCTAGAGCTGTGTTTCCAAAGCCTAGCACTGAACCTTCTGGACCCTAGTAACTTAGAATCCTTGACATACCTATTTGGGACCAAATTCCAGATTAAAGTAATAAAAATCTCCCAGTAAGGAAATACACTTGCTTTATTCTTTCGGCATCTGGGCACACCAAAGTTTTAAGGAGTGTAACACAAAAGCCAGTAAAAAGCTACCACTCTGCCTCACGCCCTGTGGTTCCTACTGAGATGCACAATTTTGGCTTGTGACTCACTTGCACTTAAAATTCTCAGGAGTTATGTCGTGCTGGTGGGGATACTGGGAATCCCAGCGCTGGCACAGAACTCCATTCCAAATGGTGTTGACGGTCCCCCTGTATCCTTCTCCCTGACCTTGAAGACATTCAGTTGTTTCCACGGGGACATCAGTGTCATTCATCAGACTGTGAGCTATTGGGAGAAAAAAAAATTGAAACTTTAATTCTTCCAACGAGCCATCCACCTCCTTAGAATTCATTTGCACTTGTCTTTTTTAGGATTTTTGGTCACCTACAAATTTTTATTATTAGCTGGAATAAGAAATTCAACTTAATATTATTACTATCTCCATTACTTCAACACTTAATCAGTTTATTCTTAAGTAATTTTAGAGACATTTTATTTTCATATGTCACTTTAAGATATACTGGCTCTATATTATTACTGAAATGATATCCAAATATCCCTAAAATCAAAGTCAGTCATGCAATTAGCAATGGCTTTTATCTTACACAGTAAATACCTGCTAAGATACTACATTTTTCTTTTGAATCAACTTGACACTAAAAGTGAAAGCTGTTGCCCCTAGGGACATCTATTGCCTGTGGGTTTTTCCCAGTTTGAGTACAGTGCTGTAAAGTCAAGTAAACTCTCCAAGTACCATTAAAGTATATATAATACAAAAATAATAATGATGATGATACAGTGTCACATAATGCCTCTGGTGACAGGTAGGTAGGTAGATACATACATACATACATATAGCTACAGACAGATATAAATTCAATAAGAACAAATCTAACGTTAGGACCAGGAGAAAGACCTACATGGAAGCAGCTGGTGGTGGTGACCCAAGTCTTTCCAGAGACCAACATTACCCCAAGGCTGTTCATGAAATACAACCCAGGGCCAGATTTCATAGGTCCTGAGGAGCCACCCTCCACCTGAACAGAATGCACTTTGAGGTACTACAGGTCTGACAATTTAAGTATTCAATGATTTGAGGAGACAACTGTGAGAGAAGTGTCTGAGTCTAGATCATGCTAAATCAAGTCAAGCTTGGGTTAGTACAACTGCTTCACATTTAGTTATAAAACTATGACAACAAAGAAGGAAACAGTGCTCCCCGATCCCCTTCAATTTGTGAGCTCAGTGCTGTGATTCCACCCCTGCTCTGTGTGAGGAGAGCTGGACTCCTGGGCACCTCCTGTTGGGATCTGGCATCACTGTGCTGGTGCTGGGAGGAGAAGCTTCCAGGGGTGATCAGTTCCTGAGGGAAATCCACGGCTTTCTTGCAGGAGTTGGCCTCTGCTCCTGAGCATGGTCCATTATGAAGCTCATGCCCCTGTGCTTCATCGCTGGCCCACATGGGCTCCCCTCTTTACTATCCTACTCTGTTATCAGACAGCATGAAGCCTTCACCAGATGCCTGCTGTCCATCTTGGTGTCCCAGCCTTGAGAACTGTGAGTGAAAACAGGCACCTATTCTTCGACAGTCTGTGGAATTCTGTTATGGCAACAGAAGAGCTAGGACACACCTATCTCTGGGGTACAAGCTCATGGGCAGTGAGCTTGGGACGCCGTCACAACTTCCCAGATCATAAGGATGCTCGGTGAGGGCAGGCACTACAAACTGTCCTCTTCATAGACCTCCTCGGGCCCCTGAGCACCTCAACTCCTTTGCTCCCTCAGCGAGTTCTGTGAGTCCTGATTTCTTTACGATTAAACCATTGTCCTCAAGTACCATCCTGGTTCTGTGCACATGCGAGCTGCAGACCTGTTCTTGGTGAACCGAGATGTCAGGCATAGATGCCACTAGCTAAATCCGCTCCTACCACCAACCTGAGAAACAGCTTCAGGCTGGGCTAAACACATATGAGCATATGTGTCCGACTTTAGCATACTAAGGCACTTTCCAAATTCCAAGGAAAGCAACCAACACAGGGAATAATAAAATAGTCAGACATGGTTGAGCATTTGGACATTGTCTGATAGAATTTCTAAATACAGAAGCAGGTTCAGAGCTGATTCTCATACTTTGTGAACAGAGTTTCAGTCTGAACAGGTGGAAGAGGAAGAGAACCTCCTGCCTGCTGATCAATGCAGACTTAAACATCAAACGTCTTCTTTGGAGTGTGTTATTGGACAGGGTGAGAGGAATTCCAAGGTAGATTTTTCACAAATGACTTTGTGAAGTTGCCCTTTTACAGAAATTACCCATAATAAGTAAAATTTGAAAAGAACATTTACAGCCTTAGAAACAGCTATTATATATATATATATATATATATATATATATATATATATCTTTATAAAAAGGATTACTATTATTCATTAAGAAACTAATACTTAGCAGATGCAAAGACTAATTTGAAGCAATCATATGTAGAGTAAAGGTCAGATAAATATTTTTCTTATTACAGTACAAACTTCTGAGTTTTGAAGTCTCTGAGATAAGAAAACACTGTTACAAAAATTCAAATTCAAAGAAGACCACTTAAATAAAAATATTGAGAAAAATATATCCTGGCTAATTTGTCTAAAATTTCACTGTCAAGTTTGGGCACCTGTATTGCTAGAGGTAAATTTGTTTTTCAAATGCAGAAGCTTCCAGCCACCTTTAAATAAAGAATCCTTCACATTGAAAAATAGTAATGATGAAGTTTTCTTCATTTAAACTATTGAATTTCATAATTTTTTCTAACTTTAACTAGGATCTTTTAAAGCCCTTGACGTAAAATTAAAGTGTTATTATTTAGTAGGAAAAAGCACATTAAAATGGTTAAGTAAAATTCAAACATTGAATTTGGGTGGAATTATTTAGATTATTTAAGATACCCTAATTTGGAAGTAGAAAATAAAATCTTTTGAGATTTCCCAAGTGATGAAATAGAAAGGATTACTGCTTAAGAATAAAAATATAAATAACTGCTCATGAGGCCTCATTAAGATGTAAAAAACCTAAAATAATACAATTATTTTTGTCTCTCATTTTGATTAGCATCTGTAATTTTATGTAATCTCAAAGAATTTGACAATCTTCATTTCTGCCTGGGTTTTAATTCATTAAAATGCTTCTCATGCCTTTCGCACCTAACCAGCAGCATCTATCTAGCAATGCACCTGCTGGATTTAGTGCATCTGTGTTTGTCTCATTTTCTAGTCAGCTTCTAGGAATGACCTCATTAAAAGTCACCAAATAATTTTGGCGGCAATGTATAGAATAAATACGACTTAATAAAAACATATCAGTACAGTGACGTAACCAAGTGGATTTCCATCAATAAGTAACAGTTGTTAATAGTTTTTGAGAGACTTCGTGAAGCTATTTAATAAATACCATAGGATAAGGAGCAAGACAATTTGTCCACAGGTCATTTAACTGTGACACGGATGTTTGCTCCATGTTGCCTCATTCTAAAGATTCCAGTAAAATGAATTATTCCTGAAGTGCAGTAAAACAGACTCCTTCTGCTATCTTACTGTACAAATGTCAAAGTTTAATACAAAAACTAAACAAATGTTTCACAATAATTGATTTGGAAAGCACTGGCAGCTCTTAGGAAAGGCATTCTTTTGTATTTAATCCTGGAACATGGGACTGAACAAGGGAGTTTTGAAGTCTCCAGTGACCACAGAAAGTGTGGGGAGGAACAAACCCTTCTCCAAATATCAGCTGAAACCAATCAAGCTGCAACAAAGTGACAAGCTTTTAGAACACGGCATCTTCATATTCACAAACATCTCTACAAATATGTCTACGAGGTTCACACTGAGAACTCTTCTGAGAGTTCCACACTAATAAAATATTTGGCCAGGGGTGTTGGTGGCTATGCTTTGGAAACAGATGCAAGATATTTATATGAATAAAAGAATGTTTTCCTTTGATGATTGACACAAAGTTTTTTGTTTGGAAATACTTCAAGGGAAACAACATTTGCAATTGAAAGTTTCACTGTCCTATTAACGAAGCATCAGACCCCATGGCTGCCTCTGGGAACATTGATTTCTCTTTGCCAGCACCAGTGAGCTGTGATCTAAATGCCATCATCCTGATTTGAAGAAAATTTTGAAGTTGCAATGGATTTTTTTAAGATAAAGAACATTAACGATTATATAATTCTTGGGAGAAGCATCTTGCACTCCAGACAGATGGAGAGTAGAACAAGACCACTCTCAACAATGCAATGGCCCATTTTCTCTGTGAGGGCTTTGTAGAATGGTCACGGGACCCTGCTGGACTCTGTGAGGTCAGCAGGAGGGTCTACAGCGACCTGTGTGACACAAAGCCATTCCCAGGGCTGCTGGATGTTGAAATGCACAACAAGTAAATCCTGACATTTCCAGTCCTTGCCTGGCCCCCCAATCCCCGTCAAAAGAAAATTCAGATTTCCCAGTGGAGATAACCAACTGCTGGGTTTGTTTGTTTCAGTTTTGGTTTTCCCTGTAGTTAAGAACCAGATGCTTGCCCGGACCACAGGGCAGATACCTAGTTAGCCCTTGGAGCTGTGCAGCCCAGCTCACTGCTGCCAAGCCCAGCTACCGAGGAGCAAGGGAGGCCCAGGATTTCTGCCCGGCGCCCAGAGGGCTGAGTGCAGCCAGAAAGCCAACCTCCCATCAGCGCAGGACGCACGCTCCGGGCCACAAAGGGCGGGCTCAGGCTCCCTGTAAAACTGAAGAGCTTCTTGTCGTCAAGCTGACGTGGGAAAGTGGTGAAGACCTCCGCAGGACAAGCTTCAAATTGCCTGCACGTTTGCTTTCTATGCGAAGCCAGGATTCCTATCTGAAACTTTTCCCTGGACTCCATCCAAGCCTTTCTGGTACAAAATGCTCAGGAGACAAGACTTTCATGAAAGGTCTTCAATTCTATAGCCTGATTCCTTAGAAGACGACTTGGAAAAGGCATCCAAGTAAGCGAGTTTTCCCTTGAGGAGGGTATTGAGAGCATTATTTTCTCCTGACTCCAAAGTCAATAAGGTTTTGTTTCTATGGATCTCTATTCTGGCCTTGGTTTACTTAATGAAAATTCAATGAAACAATAGCTTCTGAAAGAAGGATAATAATTTGTTACCATGATTTCCCAGCATACAAACAATGAATTTTGAAAAATACTGATATTTTCTTTAAATGAAGCCAGTTTTCATTTTTACCGAGGAAGGGTTGTTTGTGTACGTTACCAGTGGGAACCTACCTATGTTCGTCTGCACACGCTCCCAGAAAACTCCACAGACCTGGCAGTGCAAGCAACACTGACTTATTTTCGCCATTTCTGGACCGTGAGACGAGCAAGCCTGAGGGCCTGGGCCTTGGGGGAGGGGTGGGGTCTCTGCGGGTAGAAGCTCATCAGTCCTCACACTTTAGGGCCCATCCTTATCACCCCTTTAACTTGAATCTGCTCCTTAAATCTCAGTATCAAGATGGAACCATCTCAGGGGTTAGGGTTTTAACATCTGAATCCGTTCAGTCTCTTGCGATCCCCTGACCAGAAACCTTCACTATGTAAGAGCTACTTGAGTCGCATTTCAAAATGGCTCTGGATACCTACTTACCTAGAAGCAAAATAGGAAGAAGGAGGAGGGAAGAGAAGAAGAAGAGGAGGGAAAAAAGAAAAAGAAGAAAAGAAGAAAGAAAGGAAGGAAGAAAGAAAGAAAGAAAGAAAGAAAGAAAGAAAGAAAGAAAGAAAGAACTGAACAAGTTTAGAAAAACAGAAATAAAATAGGAAACTTCTTGTCTGTTTTGGAGGTAAAAGAAAATTGCTCCTGACACCAGGCAGCAAATCAGCCTAAGCAGCAGGCAAGCGGCAAGCCTGAGGGTGGGCTGAGCTTAGAGAGCAGGAAGCGAACCTCCGCCATCTCTGAGATGAATGTCGATAACCATAGAAACAGTCCCAAGGACAGGACAAGAAGAAGGAGAAGCTACCATTTGCCAGGAAGGCAGCATGGTTCATGCAAAAAGTATTTGCTGAAGTTCCTTGGTGGCCATGGCAATATGGTCAACACCAGAAGAGAAAAGGCAGACGGTTTCTGCTCAGCTTGAGGAAGCCAAGTGTGCTGGGGAGACCTCCTGACCAAGGAAATTTGGGAGCAGCGCGTGCAGCGTCACAAATCCGAGCAGTGTGGGAAAGGAGGACTCTCCAGTGCTGTGAATGCACAACCCAGGACGGAGTACATCCCTGGGCTGAGACGGGGTGGGCCCCCTAAGGACTGGAGATAAAGGAAATGGTGGCTCAGTTAGTTAAACAACCAGTACCTGTCACAACGATGAAGAAAGGAAAGTTTTCAAGGCAGGAAGGATGGCAGGGGTGAAGCGTCGGTGACAGGAAACTGAACGTAGGGGCTGCGGGGTCCAGTCCCTGTGGCTGAACAGACAGCGACAACGCAGGAAGAAAGCAGGAGCTAAGGAGTGGGCTTAGCTGTGAGGTCAGAGGCTGGGAGGCGAGCACAGGATCACCTCATCCTCACCCTGAGATGGACAGAATCACTGAAATATCCCTACCAGCTCTGTGTGTGTGTGTGTGTGTGTGTGTGTGTGTGTGTGTGTGTGTGTGTGTGTGCCCGCCTGTCTGTCTGTCCGTGTGGTGTGTCCTAAGGAAGAGGAATGATTGGTCAGGTCAGATGTTTTGGAAGCACTCTGTTTGCACGGGGGAAATGGGATTGGAAGGGCAGTGATGGCCATGGAGGACACTGAGCTCAGACTATGTGAAGATCCACCATGAAAGTGAAGGCTCTTTCCAAGATGACTGAGGAGGAGGAAGCCAGCACGAAGGGGCTCAGAGGAGGAGGAACTGAGGTCAGCCTCTGATGGACAGATGGGCTGCTCGAGAGAGTGCCAGATCTAGGACTGTTCTGGGCTCTCGGGGTGTAAATGGGGTTACTAGTCATGCAAAAGGGAGTTTAAACGGCAGAATGGACTCTCCTTGAAGGATGAGTCAAGAAAGGCACAGGAAAAGATAATCCACTAGAGAAGAGGTCTCTAACTCCAAAGGTGCAGGCAGGGGTTTGCAAACCAAACCGCGGAGGGGCAGACACTGGGTCTGCCCTGGGCACTGTCCTGTAAGGAACCCAAGCACTGCATGTTCTGCTGCTGTCAGAGGGACCAGGTCCAAAGTCTTCCCGGGGGTAAGGTAAGGAGATCAGAGCTGCCTCAGTATATTGTGGTTTTCCATAATTTCTGAAAAATATGTGTATTTTGATACCTTTCTATATCCAGTGAGTTTATTATTATCATTTTTAATGAACTGCTTTTTCACATTTCTAGTCTGTTACATAACACATCAACCCATATGCCCCACAGAGGCAATTTCTGTTTCCAATCCTAAATGTTTTAGGGCTAACCAGGATAAAAGTCCCAGTGAGTCTGGGAACTGACTTAATTAACTGATAGTGCTTTCCAAAGGGCACCATGGACAAGGATTTTTTCAGTGGCGAGAGATTCGTTGTTCACTTCAGAAAAACACAATTGTCTCAATAAATGCTTTTTCTCAAAGCAATAAATTCATTTGTGGAACAAACTGTTATTCAAACTATGAACTTATTATGGGGGGTGATCACAAGACATTTGGTACTTCCTTTGCTCACTACTAAGTACTTTCTGTCTTATCCTAGATTTGCAATATTCCAGGTGCTGGGAACCCCAAGATCATGGAGCTCGACTATTTGGGGGAGGTGGCTCCTAGGGTTGACATCCTCTTGTGGGTTAGAGGGAGAGAATTTGCATATATAAAGTTCCTATGAATTGACTTCAAGTTAATTTGAAAGAGATTAACTCAGGGGCCCTCATCTAAACAGGTGAGCCCTTAAAAAGTGGATTTGATGTCGGAAGGAAGCTCCAGCAGGGAAAGCAGCCCACTGGCTTTGAAGAGCACAGGGGCAAATGGTTCAGATGCTCCCTGTCAGGGGTGTCAGGGAGTCTCTCAGAGCTGACAGCCTCCACAGCAACCACAAGGAGCAAGCAGCCAGCAGCCTTGGATTTGACCACAGGCTGTCCAGCACCTCAAAGGCGACCTCGTGGAACACAGAGTGGAGAACCTGCTTGAGTCACCCAGGTCTCCTCACCCAGGGAAGGCGGAAGGCGACACAGGGATCCTGCTAACAGCTCTCATCTTTGGGAATTTGTTTTGCCAATAAACAACTAATACACAAGCAAAACTACCACTGAATTCCTCATTTTTGCAAGGTAAGCTTTCCTGCACTTGTAAGTCATGGAATTTGAAACGTATCTACAAAATATTATCTTTATGCTTTCCAGAATTTCAACTTTATTTCATGCACTTTATTAGGTGCGTAATCCCTTTGTAGCTCTTTATATTTCTATAATTTTTTAAAATAATAGCTGTCCTTTAATAAAATATTTCTAAAATAGTCTCAAAGCTCAGAAGATTATTTTAATCTAAAAGATAAAGTTTTGGCTCATAAATTCTACTATCATTTTCCGAGGAATCACATCCCATAAACACCCACTCTGTTTAACAGAGATATCCGAATTATTGCACATGCTATACATAATTAGCCAGTTCCTCTTGACAAAAAAGAAAGGGGAGGAATCCTATGTAGTTGTTAGAAAATATCATATTCCTTTTTTTCTTTTTCTCTTCCAATTTCTTTTTAAATATGCAAAAATTGGTTTACTACAAAACTAAAGGGCAACATTTGGACATCTTGCCAACTGGAGAGTGAACACGCAGTGTGTGTGTGTGTGTGTGTGTGTGTGTGTGTGTGTTTATATTGGCCTGTTCCAGACAAGATTTTTAAGAGTACCCTGTGCACAAAAACTGGAAGGGAATCAGAATATGTTTTTAAACCTCACTGACCAAGCATACTTGGAAGGTTACCATGTCTAAACAATTTAATGAGTAAAATTAACATCACACAGGGAAACAGTCACTGGAGTCGTCTTTTATTTTAAAGGACACAGTGGCCGATCCAGTTTCAGAAACATTGTGTCTCCCTTTAAGAGGCTTCTGGATTCTGCAGTCCGTTCACATGCGCCATCAGTCCTGAAACATTCACCCTGTTAGTGGGTCCAGAAGGTGATCTGGCAGCAGTGATCCGCCCATGTTAGGTTTGTTCGGGGGATACCCACACCTGGGCACCGTGGGAAGCATACTGATATGTACCCAGGCCCTCTTATCTGGGTACTTTGCTTTGTATCCCAGGCTGGTCTCAAACTTGCACGGATCCTCCTGCCTCAGCCTCACTAGTGATGGGATTACAGGCGTGCGCCACCATGCCCAGCTCCCAGGACAATTTTGAAGAGGAGCAAAACTGGGATTTGGTTGTGGGAAAGAATGCCACCTCCACACATTTAAAGGGATACAGCAGCGGGAAAACATGCTTTGTAGCTTAACTTTAGGCAGGCTGGCTGGGGGGCCCTGTCTACGGAGGTCAGCAGGGACACCTGGCGACAGGCTGTGTCCGAGGAGGACCTCTTCTGTATGGAAGGACCTGGAGAGCAGCTGCTGTGACTCAGTTTACTGTTTTGTGGCCTCTGCCACTCGCCCATGATGTTTCCTGTTGTGTTCGGCCCCTGCTCCTTGCAGGAGAGGCTGCGGGGGGCCGGGCCAGAGTCTGAGTGCCCACCTGTCGCTGCTGCGTGGACACCATGATGCTATGCATATTCCCTCATCTTCAACTCCCTCCAATGATTTTCCCATTTCTTTGATACTTAGGGCTTTTCACCAAAAGTATAACTGTTTTTTATGTATGCGCTTACCTGTGTCTCCTTTCAAACAATGCCTCTCTGAAATTTCAAAAGATTGCATAGGATTATATAACACATTCTTAAAAGATTAAAGTCTGCACACATTAAAGCACCAGGTAGAATACTTGTTAACCTGTCCGCCTAGTAATCGCCTGCTTAGATCCAAGCTGCGAGAGGAAAAGGAAGCAATAAATTTGCCCCTAACTTACCGCACATTTTAATTGCACAGTACTCCCAAGGGGTGTCAGGGTCAAGAGTAAAGCACCACGGCCTCAGCTTGCCATCGGGGTTGCGGCAGTAATTATCATCAAAGCCTTTGTCGGGGTATCTGCAAACCACACCGAGAAAAGTGTCACGTCAATCTGCCTGAGCACCACCTAGACCTCAGCTCGCAAAATAATTCTACAGAGCTCCTGGGAAGAGCGAGTTTTCCATCTTCCAGTTCATAGGGGCTGTGAGTTGCTAACTGCACAATCCTCTGATTTACATATCCCACGAAGCACAGTGTATCATGCTCTTGCTAATAAGTGAGGTCTATTTGGTACCTGCCTACCAGTGAGGGTCCCCCAATTAAGGGCAGATTCCAAAGACATGACCCCGTGTAGAATGCTCATTAAGAAAACAGTCCTCTTTGGGGGCAGCCTTAGAGTTCAAACTGAAAGTTCGGTTTCAATAGCTCTGTTACTAATGATAGCTCAATTTTGGAAATAGAGCCTTTCTAGGTCGTGCCCTCCCTCCCAGAGCAAGAGACAAACCATCACACCACTCTCCCCACAGCCCGGCTCCCAGTTTAAATTAAGATAGTCCAGAGTGGCCGAGTTGGTTTTAATTGCTACCATATCCCTTCTGTTCTCACTTAAAAGGAAAGGCAGACACTTTAAAAATAAAGCAGTGTTTCGGTTTCACCAAAAAGAACAACAGTAAGCAAAAAGGACAAAAAATGATAGAGAAAAACAAGAAAGAAAAAACACACTTAAGCAATTCCCAAAGGAAGGCACCAACAGACTGCCTTTAAAATAATTTGCATATTTTTCCTTTATAATAAAAATAGAGGACTTTCATTTCCCACCTTTTGCCATTTAAACCGTTCATGTGACTTGATGGAAGGAAGGGACACATATTATTAGGTTAACTTTTAAAGCTCAAAGTGTCCTCCTGGGAAAAACACAGACTTAGTTGTCTGCTTCTCTTGACTGGCAATTTCAAAGTACAGCAGGATGGAGCAGCTAAAGAATCATTGCTGCCACTTCTGTCCCCTCCATGAGCATGGCCCAAGTCAAGGCCTACTGCAGGAGCCCCGGAGTCTGAGCGCCGCTCTAGAGGCAGAGGCGCTGGCCCTTAGCAGTGAGCCCTCCTCCCGCACAGCAGGCTCCGAGGCAGGCAGTCCTGGATTATACCTCTTCCGACTTTTGTCTTTGCTACTGCAAATGCTTCTTCTGGGCCTTGCACTGTGCACCCCGAAATGGTCTTGGTTAAGACCCAGTCCGCCAAAAGTAACCGGAGGTGTCACCCAGCATCCTCCAGTTCCTCCGCACGTAGCCCTTCCCCCAAGACCACCTCCAGCATGCATGGGGCTGGTCCAGCACCTGCTTCAGGAGGAGCTGAAACATTCAAAGGACTTGGGCCAAGTGTGCATGTACACTCTCAGGAAAGGACTAAAGGAATTTTCGCGGCAGTAGTCACGGAGCAGATAACAGTGTGTAAAGAGAACTGTGGGTGTTAAGATTCAGGGGTGTTTTACCTTTCGGGCAGGAATTTGTGCCGGTGAGGCGTCTGCTGGTCCCAGCGCTGACAGATCTTGCCTGATTCTGTGTGATCCATGGGCCCTCGATAGGTTTCTCCATTGCAGGTCACGCACTCCACTAACAAAATCAAAGTAGGGCGTGTTAATGGTTTCAGGCAACAAAAATCAAGGACACCCAACTCTAGTAAAAGAACAATAAATCAGCTGTTTAGCAAACATATTTTTACAGCACCCTATATACCTAAGTGGTGGCACAAAATATATCCTACAGAACATACCCACAGTTTGTAATCAGAGACGCACAGGTTTATCATAAAGCTAAGATTCTGCACTGTTAATTATTTAAGAATGTCCAGAAGCTACAGAGGAACTGGAGAGGTAAAGCAGACCCCAGGACACTTTCCTCTCCTCACTCTAAAGTGAAGAATCAGTGTCTGTTGTGAGCACAATAATGCCTCTCCTTCCACTAGCCCGGTAACCACACAGACAGTAATAGCACACTTTTAACGGGGTGCATGCCGTCTCCCTGTGGTTAATGCAATAATCAGGCTTAGGCTGGAAGATGACCTACCACTGAACTCCATGTACACACTCTTGTGAAATGTATAAGCCGACCAAATTACGCAGGATCTCCTAGGTGATTCTGTAAGATTAATTAACGGTGCTTTTCTGGCTGGCCTCTTATGTCACTCTGAAAATTCTGAATCACATCTACCAGCTGAACATTAGAATTCTCAAACAGCAGGTTGATTTGTAGCCCAGAAAGCATCCTGTGAAATAAATCATCACTTGTCGCTTCTACGAATCCGGCAAGTTTCCCCAAACACATCATTTGTATCTTGTGATTACTGATCATCTAACTTTAGTTGAAGCGGGAAACACATTAATGTTTAGCCCTTATCCGCTGGAATCTAGCCTAGTGAGTATCGGTAGACACTTGGTACACAGTAGAACTATTACTTTTGAACCTTTAATTGTATTCTGTAACAGGACATGAACTATTAACTTTCTGAAACATGTGAGCTACCTAGGCTTTCTCCTTTGACCTCCTTTGGTGTAAGTTAACTCATGAACTTAGACAAAGATCAGTCCAGCTTCCCCTCATTTGATACTGAGAGCCCCGGAATCCGACAATGAGCACCTGACTGTAAGGAGAGGGGCCTGGGGGCACAGCGGTAAAGGTCCTCTGGTGGGCGGAGGTCACTTCCACACTGAAACACCCAACACAGGTTATGTGTCATCACATTTCAACTTTCCATAGGAAGGGGGATTTCTTCAGTTCTCTTTTAAAAGCGTGCAAGATTTGATACTGTCAGTGAAAGGACTGTGGCATCTATCATTGTTGTCTGTCCCTTTGTATTGAAGGAAAAAGAATTCAACACTATGGCTTACACTAAAGAGGCCTGCAGATGTGTGACCTCCACGCTGGAATGGTATGCGGAGATCAGAGGACACCTATTAGCTTACTTGAGTAAGTGCAGTTTGCTATGGAATACCTACTTCAAATGAGAGTAAATAGGACTGTTTTCTAGAAAGCAGGATTGTGTGCATTATTATAAAACATGTTTGGACAAAGATTTTTATTAGTCTTAAGACAAAATAGCTATGCAAATGAAATAGGGGATTCTATATGATGACTTCTTTCCAGAATGATTGTGTTTGGTCAGGAGTCTGCAAATGTCAATGTTCAGAGAAACCATCTCCACATCTGGTTAAAGAACAAATTCCAAGTCAGTGGTCCTGCCTGGGAATGAGGAAGAAGCTCATGGGGAAGCTGATTTTTCAGTGTTTCAATCTTACTTTGGGGTAGCAAGTTTGCATTCTAAAGTTCTAAGTGTTCCAAAACAATGCTATTTTAAGAGATACTACATTTACATAGACCTTGAGGAATAAATAAAAATTGGATAAGATGTATGAGGAAAAACAAACAAAAAATGGATGTGATCACATAAATTGCTATGCTGTGTTTGTAGGAAAGTGAAGAAAGGTACGGCTGTGGATGCTGTGTAATGAGATAAAGTAATACAAACCAGCAAGAGAAAAAACTTAGTTGTTTTTGGAGTGGGAATTACACATACCCGATGAAAAAACTCAGAAGCTAAAGTTTGATAGCTGTGTCTTTTCTGATTATTCTACAACTTTCATACATAAGATACTGCTTGGTTGGTCCTTAAAGAAAAGAAGGCTTCCACAAATTTTAGCAGACTTACCTACAAGAGAAAGCGTGAATCGGATTCAGGGAACAGCATTCTAAGCAAAGAGCTCAAAAAAAAAGTTTTCTCACCCTCTAGAATCCTTTCTATTAATCCAAATTGCCTTTTGTCCTATGTACTTAACTGGTTTGTTACAAACTCTCACTGGCTGCCCTTGAACACAGACTGGCAGGAATTCTAGGAAGCACTGGTCACACCCAGCCTTGCTCCCAAGGACAGGCGACTCTCCCTAGAGGTCAGAAGAGGGGACAGGGCAAGGCTATGGGCCTCCCCTGTGAAGCAAATGGCTTAAATTTTTGTTTTATCCCTTGATCAAATTATCAGCGTAGGCAGGGAAATTGCTTCTAGAAGATCAAATTTTGAAATTACTTTTCAAACTGCTGGGACTCAAAGAATCTCCTAAATTTTCCCACAGAGAGTCAAGCAGGATAGGTGGAAACCCAGCCAACCTAGGAACAGGCAGGGAAAGTGCAGGCTGGGTGGCAGAGGGGGCCAGGGGGACCTGTGCTCTGCCTGACCAGGGCACCAGGTAATCGTCAGGGCACTATTTAACCTTCAGGACACCTTCCCGGCAGCCTCTTCCAGAGAGCACAGTAGAAGCAAAACGCTGTCCCAGACCAAAGGAGCCTGCGCAGATGCAGGCTCCAAGTAGAGCTCTGGCCAAGATGACGGGAGAAAACTATTAGGAAGACCTGACTTGGAGTCACACAACTTCTTTGCTCATCGTTCTAGGTGAGAAGCTCAAAACTTGTGTACTTTTTTTCAGCTATCAAGCCATAGGTGATGTAAGTATACAAACTGAAAGTTAATTTTGCTTCAAATCCATTAATCAATTACTGATTGTGTGTATGTGTGTGTGTGTGTGTGTGTGTGTGTGTGTGTGTGTGTGTGTTTCTGGTACTAGGGACTGAACTCATGACCTTGCACTTGCCAGGCAGGTACTTATGCCATTTAGCTAAATCCACAACCCAATTGGATCTATTTTGTATCAATATTAATTCTGTTCTAGTAAAGGGGATTGCTCAGAAATATCCATATACACAATGATTTCAGGAAATCTGAAGGTATGAAGTCTCCCAAATCCACATTTATAAAAGAGTTTTATTTGTCTTTGTTTTTATAAGGCTTTCTCTACATAGAACTGCTGTCATAGTCATAAGTTATGACAATATTATTAGAAATGTTAAGTGTCAGTGTTTTAAAATGATCATTTTCACTTAGATAAAATATATTTACTTGAATATTTGATAATTTAAATGATATCTATTCCAATGATTAATAATTATTTTAAATCTGAAGCAAGTAATAAAGAAATTGAATTGTATATAGCTAGCTTTTTCATTAGTTATCAATTGTCAATATTTTCTTTACATAATTACATATAGTTCTTATTAAATAATAGTGTTTTAAGGCATATATACATTGTTGTTGACCAAGTTAACTAGTATATTTTAGTTTATATAGTCATAATTTTTGTGCTAGAACACAATATCAGGTCTCAGCATTTTCTAAAAATACAATGTATTGTTACTAACACATAGTAATATATAGCCACTATATTGTTCAATAAATCTCTTGACATTTTTCTTTATATCTAACTGAAAGGTTCTACATGGAATAAAAGGATTATTCACTTACTTTTGGACTATTTAATATATTTCCAAGTTTTAAATTTGAAGAAAAAATATGATTTATTAATCTCATATACAATTCTTTTTGAACCAAAATTTTAGACAACTTTCAGACAACCATACAACCAAGAGTTTAATATAATCACAAAAACTTCTAAATGCTAATATATATATATGTATACCCTATCTTGTCTTTTAAAAAAAAAAAAAAGAATAGTTGTTTTTCTTGTTTAATTTTAAACATACAAAATTTTGGATAATTACTAACTCATTCTAACTGGACTTTTGAATGACATCATTGAATAAATTCATGTCCACAGATGCAAAAGTCCACCCCCAGCTACCCCAGCTATACTATTTAAGCAATGTGGGATTTCTCCCACTTACATATAGTTAGTAGACATTCACCTCATATCCATAATATTTTTTCAATATTTTATATTATTCAGTTTATAAATATCTTTCTCTCTATAAATATACTGACAATGCTTATTTTGGATGCTATTCAATAAAATCCTGCCAAAATGTCACCCACTTCAGTTTGAATCTAAAGTGTCACAGTTGCAGTGTACCCCCTGAAGTATCTTCAGTTCCCCCAGGGCAGGCCTCTCTTTGCATCTCCTGAACAAGGAATTTTATGGACTCATCAGACCTCTAGCTGCTTTCAGGGAGAAGATCTCCAAAACTTGACCAAGAACCTCAAGTCATTAAAGAAGATTAAGAATTCTATCTTTATAAGGGCAACTAAATAGAAAAGTTTTTGAATCATGTCAATTCACATTTTTATCTTCCATAACCCATTGGTCTGGATCCATTCTGACACTAGATTTTAATAAGGGTTCTTCTCATTAATCGGGGGCTGCACCCACCAGGACCAGGCAGGTGGTGTACTTTGCAAGCTGTACAGACTTTTATCAAATTCCCTGCCTTGGGATACAGCTGACCAGGTCAAATAAAACCAACAAACAAAATTCCTTAGTAGAGATTTTCAAAAGTGACTTAGAAAACTGAAAATGGAGATTTCTCTAAAAATATGGGATTTTTTCTGTGTGCAAATTTAAGACAAATATTAAGCACAGACTTAGTCATACAAAACAGACTTTTCATAATGTTATCATAGTTAAGTTTATTATTTTAAAAGAAAAGAAAACAATGAAAGAGCTATTGGGAACAGAATATGACATGAACGGAAAGTAAGAATTTACAAACAAAGGTGAAACCGTCTCTACCACATGAAGTCCAGGGTTATAAATTAACTAACAACAGAAAGCATATTTACCTTCTCTGGGACAGTTAGCAAACTGTGGCCTTTATGGATATTCACAGATGATAGAACTCAAACCATATTTAGTTAATAAGCAGATAAAATGTCTCAATATAAAAATAGGACAGCATTCCAGTGGCCTCTTCCACACCCCAAGTACTTTGAAATTTTAATAAATTTCTAAAATAATTCAATCCACATTTGGATTTGGCAAATTTTAAAGAGTTTTTGACAATTGAAAAATCTAGCTCTTCAATAGCCAAACACCTGTGAAAATCACATTCACAGATAATGCTGAACTATTTCCTCCTCCAGCTCTCCGCTCCCTCCAGGGTGGACACTGCACCTACTATGCTGGCCAGGAGGGTAAAGGGCATGCACTGCATTGCCTGCCTTCAAGACAGCCTGCAGCCACCGCTGGGTCCCTGATATGATGTTAACTGGCACCCGCATCCCGTCTGAGTGACAGATTTGCTGCCAGCCCCATTTGCACCAAAGCACCCATGGGAGTATTGAGCTCCTGGTGATCCCTTGTCCTAGTCTGTTCTGCACACACAGACCCTGGCCTTACCACATTAAAGGAGCTGTGCCCAAAGTTCTGAACAAGCAGATGCTAGATGTATAGAATCCGCATTGCTAGCAAAGGGCTACCTTCCTTCAGCTCTTTATATGGGATCTAGAGAGCCTTTCAAGGTTCGCGAGCTCAAGACAGTAGTAACAGTAGACACCTCAGGCGGACCTTGAAGTTCAAACTGAACACCAGCTTGCTACTCACATTAACCTGGTGGTCATCCGACAGCTTGGGGAGCGTCATGAACGAGAGCCCAAAGGATTCTCCATGGTTGCGTTTGGGTGAACAACACATTTATTGGGGTGGACTGGTGTCTGCGCACCTGCACTGTGTCACAGCTCTACACGCGGGAGACCGGGTGCCCCCCGTAGCCAGGTTCATTTACCTTCTGAACACTGAGGAATGTCACAGACTTCGTGGCGTACCTCGGGATTGCTCGTGAAACACCACGGTCCCCCTTCTTCCCCTCGAGGGTTTCGACAGTAGTTTTCCTGTAGGTCTTTACCCCGATAGCTCGAAGGCAAAAAGCTAGTTTTAAAATGATAATCATTACAGTATAAGAGCAGAGCATGCAAATTTATTTTTGGCCTATTAAATCTATTAATCAGAGAATCAGATTTTCCTAAAAGTTTAGACAAAATCTACTTCTTAAGTCTATCTCTTATTCAATCACATACTTCAACTTCGATTCTGTCATTTCCATGCATTCTTAAGATACTTGAGTTTTCTTTAAGGTTTACCGAGCTTTTATATTCAGCATTGCATTAAGAATTTCAGCCTCTCGATTGTCTAAGACCCGTATATTGGAGAATGTCATTGGTGTGGTGTAAAACACAACCTCACTGCTGCACTCAAAGGTCCCTGAAGCGAGACCTGAGAAATCACGGCACTAACGTGGAGGTCTCAGCACCACACTGCTTACCCAAGTCCTTACCTGTTTGTTTAACCTGTTTGTTTACTTTTCTTGTAAAGAATAGCCTCCTTTTTATCCCCTGCACAGGGCAGAAACAGACTGATAAAATAACATGAACTGAGAAGCTAAAGTCAAATTAAACCTAAGCTTCCATTTCAGCTCTTTCTAGCAGGGAAACCCCTGCAAATACTGGCCCTCCATCTGTCCGGTAGCTCACCTGTGCAAAGCGTACACCCATCACTTCTAACAGCCAACACTGTGAGTGGTTTGTCAGAGAAGTTAAAAAGATGATAAAATTGGCACTTGAGTTCTACCTGTGTTTAGGTGCACCCAATTCTGTATTCTCTCCTCTGACCTATTCAGTGTAGAGTTATGTATTTCTTTCAAAACTTTTGAAAATATTGACTGTCTCTGGGGTTTGGGGGTTCCTGGCTTAATTCTCAACAGTAAGACATTGAGTTCAATAGCATGGATTTATTACCTTCATGTAAGACTTCTGGTGGCCCAGTGGTCATTTTGTTACTAGCATAAAGTATTCCAATCCTGGGAAAAGGCCACAACCTTTGGATTCCCTTCGTGTTGCTTATGATCTTGGACTAAGTGATGCCACATTTTCTTTCTAGACTACACATAAAAATCAGTTTGAAAAATAATATATAACTATTGGTAACACCAGTAGAAAGGGTTTTGAGAAATGCAGTAGCATTTTCAATACTTTGTTGGGTTTTTGATAAAAAGCATGCTTTCTACTTTTACTGAACTTGAGTTTTCAAACTTAAAGTCCAAAGATTTCATCTTTCAGTAAATGTAATTCAAACATGTTCACTGTGCAGTGAAACTTCTAATTGTAAATAGATATGCTAATTAACCTAACCTGGTCATTAACTAATATATACAAAAACTAAAACATCACTTATATCTCATAAATACATACATATCTTGTATGTCAATCAAAAAAGAAGAAAGGAAAGGTATCTATTTAGTTTTTATTAAAATTGATACACAGAATAAACATAGGGACCCCTCAGGTACCAAGCAACATTTTGCAATGAAATTCTTTCACTCGGATGAGAACTCAGATCCTCAGAACACGTGAATTATGGACTGAAACAGAAATGTTCTATTCTAAGAAACTTGCTAACAACCAAACCGTTTTAACGGCTGAATCAAATACAATAAACATTCTGTAACTCACAAATGTCTTTGATAAAGCGTTTATACGTACTGTACTTCCCAACATTTTAAAGATGAGACACTGAGCCTAAAACTCCAGGTGAATAACTTATAAAATCCATAGTGCATTAAAACTGGTCATAATTTAGCAGTTTCTAGCGGGAATTGATTTTCAAAGCAAAAAATGCTGAATGTATAGAATCAGAATCACTAAATTTTATTTTTTGTCTACATTTTAATCTAAATTTTAGTCATTTCAGGATATTTTAGTGTGAGACGACCTTGCACTGATTTTCTCCCATGTTCAACACTTCTCTAAATTTTTATAGTAAATTTATACAAACGTGTTTATTTCCCTGTCAGAACCCAAACTGAGCTTTGCGGTCTACTCCCAGGACATTAGTGCATGATCCAAAATCACTTAGGAAAACTCTAGTGTAACTCTACACTATAAAGAGAGTGGAGAGGCAAAAACTAGTTGCTATTAACCACAAAGCACGCTGCTGCCTGACAGGTAGCACCTGACTAATGGGTGAGGCCTTGGACAATTTATTTACTGAGCTTTAATTTCTTCACTTAAGAGCTGAATGAAATGAACTAGATTATTATTAATATCCTTTTTCCTGTTATTATCTTATATTAAGTCTACTTGAAATAAACAGTGTTTGGGGTACATGTTCAACACAGTAATCGCATATTCACTATCTATGGCTTTAGAAAGGATTTTTATTAAGCAGGGAGAGAGAGAGAGAGAGAGAGAGAGAAAGAGAGAGAGAGAGAGAGAGAGAGAGAGAGAGAGAGAGAGAGAGATTGAGAGCCAGAGAGCCAGAGAGCCAGAGAAACACACACACACACACACACACACACACACACACTCACACCTTTCCTGTGGGTTTGGCAAGCCAAATAAAAGCAAGTAGTGAATATATCAGTCAATGATTTAGCAAGAAAAGTACAGTTGGGAAGGAAGAGTGATCAAGTGGGAATTGAACCTAGATAATAGGCGCTAGACCAAGTTCTCCCACTGGAGAAACTCTAACAGGGAGAAGAGATGGGCTTCCTTCCACAGTTCTGAATCAGCCCATAGCCAGCTCCTCTCAGGAGAATGAGATCAAGGTGCAGAGCAAGCCTCCTCTCCATTCCCTGGTGTGCTTGAACTTAGCCCAGTTAACTGGCTTTCTTCGCATCCCAAAGTGTCACCCTGACTTTCTGCACATGCACCCTGACTTTCTGGCCACAGGGTGTCACTTGGCCTGCCGTCTCCTCGTAAGTTGTCCACTGGACAGATGTGTGTAAGAACCGAGCACACACCAGGCGGGTCGGACGGTGGGCTCTCCACTGACCTTTTACGCACACATGTACTATTCTCAGCTCTCTGTCCTTGCTGTTAGCGAGGCTTTAGGAGAGATAAGTGAAGAAATATCCCAAACTGGGTATCATCCAAATATCCTTTGAAACATAAACTAGGTCTTCTAGTTGTTAGTCTCCCTCTATTTTAATATGAACTGTGTTGTAGGAAACTCGATCTACTCCATCATCTGCTTTATTAATGAATCCTGAGGGGCTAGTGAAGGATATAGATGTAGATATCGCATCACCTGATTTTCTGGTAATTTCATCATCTATCATCATCTTTCCATTAAGCCACTTGTAAAATGTTTCAGGTGAGGGAGTCAACAGTAAATCACCCCTCTGAAGAGAAATATGTTTCTTTTCTCAGTGCTCAAAAAAGTGAACTTTAGTCAATGTTTAACTCAAAAGTGTGAAGTTATCATGCAGATATCCCAATAAGTTGCTAATTGAAAACTGTTAATGCCTCTGAACACCAAAGAAGTAATTGACTAATAATGTAGGACCCTCTCAACCATAAACCTCTTGGTCACAAGTAAACGTCCTTTGGAAAGCTAGTGGTTGGGCTAAGAACCAGTTCCCAGAAGATCTATTTCACATTTGCTCATCTAGCAGACAATCCCAATCATGGAGAACTTGGGTTGAAATAAGACCCTGAAAGTAGGATTGATTTCAAATGCTATGTTTGCAAAAAAAATAGTAGTATACATGTATTCCTTTGTTTTCGAAAATGATCGATTTACTTAAATGAAAAGTTGTCTACACTACAAACACCCTCAAGAAAAGACAAACAGAATCCCAGGGTTTGTGCTGTAATAGAAATCATATTATGTTTCAGAGTTAGTACTGTATAACTGTTAGCAACTAATTCGGCAAATGGTTGCTTTCTATATTGAAATGATCAGCTTGTGGCTTAGTGGCTCGTGTTAATTAGGCTGAAATCACAGGCTTGAAGCCAGTTTGGAACAAATAACTTTTTTCCCTGTATATAAGCCAATGAACTCCTCTCTGTTTATCAAAGCAAAATCAATCATGTCACAAAATCATGATTTTTTAAAGAAACAATGAAATGAAGTAAAAAAAAAAAAAAAATCTCACCAAGCAAAATCATAGCCACTAGCAAAAGTCGAGTCAAGACTTCTGTCCACGGATGGGTCACAGGCCTCACACCTCAGGGTTGGTCAAAACACAGGGTCACAGAGGCACACTGACAGCCATATCTTCCGTTCACACCATTTGCCACTAACTAGTTAGTTGCCATTAACTAGTTAGTTGTCTAGAACCTTGAGGTTCTTCACGTTGCAATTTTACCACTCAATGAAGGTACCCACTTTGCTGTTTTTCTGAGAATGCCATGAGATAAACAGGTAAATACTGCATGAGGTTCTGGGCATGCAGCAAACTAAACCTTCTAATCCATTTACTAACCAGGGGAGAACTTTGTAACCACGTTAACTCCCTGTAAAATTATTTGTGAAATAAATCTGTAAAACTATGGATAATTTAGTTCCCTGTTAGATGTCAGATGTTCATGTTTTTCTTTCCTGATGATTAAAATTTACAAGCCAGGAGCCTACCAATACTGTTTACGGGTCTTTAAGTAGTATTCACCTGTCACAATAAACACGATTCTCTGTGGTGTAGACACTTCATCTCCCAGGACTGAGTGTTCTCTCATCCTTACACGACAGGTGAATGAGAAAGCCTTGAGGCTGAGGCAGGAACCTCTCACCATGAAGCTCGGCTTTGGCTGCACTTTGGAATCACAGGAAGCTTCTAATAATGGTGGCAGCACTTTCCACCCAAAGCTTCTGACTTAATCTGTGTTTCCCCTGAGTGGGTCCAGAGGGCCTGCGGCAGGTGATTCTAACGTGCAGCCAGCTGAGGTGGGGAGACATTCTGATCTGCCTCTGATTCACTAGTCAACAGCTAGTGCTTCCTAAGAGATCTAAAGAGGAACAATCTTTTTACTTCCAAAGCGGTTTTCATTCTTTGTCCATAAACATCAAGATCTACGAATTAAGGCATTGCGATTTGATTCTATCATGATGAGTTTGCTCACTTTCTGTTCACTTCAGCCATGCGTCACATAAGCTTTGGTCTCATCCAATTCAATAGATGATAAGTTACTGCAGGGCTGCAGGACTGGCGGGAGGACTGAGGCGGGACTGTTACCCCACGAGGAGACATGCCCCCACTTTGCTTCGGGCCCTCCTTACCTGTGCTCATGGGGGATCATGGAGCTCCAGGGCTGGCACTTGATCCCGCTCTTGGTGACCGAGACCGTGCCCTTGTAGCTGCCCCCTTTTCCAATGATGCAGTTGCGGATATAGTCTGTGGGAGGAAGCAGAGAGAGATGTCCTGACCTGGGAAACAGCCGTGTTTACCAAGGAGAACAGGGAGGTGAAATTCCACTCAAACCTGTAAGTAATTAACTCCTGAACCATTTCAGAATAACACTGAGATTTCTTGCCTAAAGCTTCTCGTGGAAGTTTCAAAATAACACACTTTGGAATAATCCAAAACAAACAAACAAGCAGATGATTGAAATGTTTTAATTTCAAGAGTATATAAGAATAACTCAAAGACCTAACACAAATGAGTCTATGCACACAAACTGGCCAGGTGATTGTTACTTTTTAAACCAAAACACCCCCAAAAAAGAGTGATTTTTAAAATATGAGCCAAAAGATTATTTTAAGGAAATACAATTGATTTATCTTTTTTACTTCAGTGAAATTGTGTGTATATATGAGATAATTACATTAAATTATTGTTTTCTTTGTTTTTGTTGACATCTACTGAATTCTAAGATACTATGTATCACTATCAAATATTAGCACACACAATTGTTAACAAACTATAAATCAGAAGGATGTTCATATCCTCGATAATGAATGTTTAGAATTTGTAAATTTATTAGAGATTATCTAATTTCTACCCTGAAATTTCTTTCAATTTTATTTAAACATTTACCTTATCAACATAGAAATATGTATCTTTATATACTGTCAAATGTTCAAGTTTAATGAGACAGAATGAAGTTTTTAAAATGGTAGTATTAAAGAGAAGGTTATTTTCAGAAGTGCAGTCCATAATTACTATTTATGATGAGATAGTTATTTTTAAAATTTATACTTATTTAATGTTCGATAAGTATTTGTTTCATGTAACTGCACTTTTCAACAGTGGAAATATCTTGTGAATACAATATCAGACACCATTACAGATAAATTAACAAATAACATAGTCTCAAGTTTTTTTTGCATAAGTTATCCAAATTAGGAGCAATCATCACTGGAACAGATTAGCTACCGAAAGTTGTTAAATATAAATAAAACATGATTCTCAAAAATCTAATGTATCTTAATCACAGAAAGTAAGATGATATTTACTAAATTGAGTATGGAAAGTGTCAGTTCTCAGAGAAGCTCAAAAAAGCCAAAGGGGAAGCTTGGGAAGTACTAGCCAGTGTCACACTAGAAGTCGTCAGGGTGCGAGTCTTATCAGCCTTTGAGAATGGACTGACCGCATCAACCGCTCAGCACGTAAGAGAAGAATCAGGGAGAACCAGCATGGGCGGGGCGTGGCGAGTGTCCATCCCACACCTCATCTCATGGGGCAGCCTTCAGGGAGAAGTCAGGTACCTTTTTTCTCGTACAGGTCGAACTCGTGGCCGAACTCCTTCTTCACCCCACTTGACATGCTGTTGAAAGGGAGCCACAGGCATCTTTTTCTTGCTTTATCAAAAACAAAGGCCCTGAAAAAAATATCTAAATGAAAAGAAGGAATGCTACTATTTACACACTTCTTAAAGAACTGGTACACTGGTTTACCAAGGAAGACAATATAAAATCAGATGGGCTGTTACATCCACATAGTAAAAATGCAAGTACTATCAGAATCCACCCTTTGATGGCCAGAAAGGAAAACAGAACTAGCTTGTTGCAGGTATCGATTTAAATATCAGACTGAAAAGTGGTTGAGGTGTTCTTGTGTTATTCTGAATGACTTACAGAAACCTAAGAGCTTCAACAAGCAAAACTAACACGTAACACAGCTATCTGGGTTGATCTCATGATGTTATGATTAGTTTCCCAAATTTGTAACCATATAAAAATGACATTTGCTTAGCTACATCAGACAAATCACCTCCATAAGACATTCTCTAGGAAAGGAAGATCTAAACTCAAATTTTCAGGAATGTTGCATACAGTATCCCACCCTAATGAGTTATAAAATACTCAAGCTTATTAAAGGCTAGGAAAATCTTGCTATAAGGATAACTTTCTTTCAATCTGTGCTTCCCAAACATAGTTGCTTGTATGTGTACTTTGGTTGTTTGGCTGGTTGGTTGGATTTTGGTTTTTTCAGACAGGGTCTTGTCATGTAGTTCAGGCTGGCCTTGAAGTTACTACCTAGCCCAAGCTGGCCTGTAATTCACATCAGCCTCCTGCCTCAACCTCTCCAGGGATGGGATTATAAATATGTGCCACTATGCCTAGCCTTTGTATATGCATTTTATTTTAAAAGTTATCCATACTTGGGGATAAGCTTTTGATGTATTATCGTAAGGAAAAATATTGACAAGTTTCACCTTTACAACTACCATTCCTACAGCCAACTATTTCATTGTTCTTTGCTGCGGTTGTTTGATCAAAAACAAAAGGTTAAACACAAAAGAACTAAAACAAAATGGTAGGTGACTTGAGCTGGAAAATTGTAAACAGAGTTTCCAGTTTTCTGATCACATCTTTTCTGTCCTCCATTACCATCTTCTTTTTAAAATTATTCTAAACTATTCTATGGAGTCGTGGCTGGAAGAGGCTTTCTCCTGGTTTCCTGTCTTAGGTCAGTGCGTGAATGAGCTGTCTGCTGAAGCCCTGGGCTCAGGTACTCTAAGTATCTTTCCTGCCTAGCAAAGAGGATCTAGAACTCCAGTAAAATCAGCCCTGCGGACTCCTGCTCAAGAAGAAAGGGCTCCTGAGATTATCCTTCCTGTGTCTCACCCATCCACACAGCGTGGTGTCACTGCTGATGTTATGTGGGTACTGCAGGTAACTAACCACAACAAGGTCAGGAAGTAGGAAACTCCATGTGCCTGGGTACCCCTGGGCTTGGTAACAAAGCCACGCGTCTTCTCTAATGCAGTGAATCACTTTATTCCGTACTGCATAAACAAGATAGGACAATAACCACAAATTGAATGGAAGCTATATTTTCTACATAAGACCCAAGAGAGTCTATTTGCAGATTCCAAGTTTAAAATCAACCATGAGATATGGTTCCCCAACCCCTTTCCCACAAATTTCCACCTCTGGAAAGGGGAACTATAACTTCAACCTGTTTGACTGTCTAAGGAACATCTCTATAAATGTACACAGCTGAGGTATAGCATGAAAGTAATATTTTTCCTAGTTTGTTTTCTTTTTAGCAACTTTAAGGTTTTTATACAAAAGTCAGGGGACGGCACAGAATTGGCATAGGAGAAGAGCAACATTTTCATACTACTTGCAAACTTAATTCCCGTTTCCAATGCCAGAAAGCGTCTATCTCCCTGAACATAGCCATTGGGCTGTAAGGATGAGAAGAGAGTCCTCCTGGTCCTCTGCAGGCCTCCCTGACCCCGCCCTCCCTAGCCACGCCCTCCCTAACCACACCCCCTGGTCACGCCCCTCCCTGACCCCGCCCTCCCTGACCACGCCCCTCCCCAGGCCTCCACACCCAGTTCTCTGGGAAAAGCAAGATGGCAGCAGAGCTCACGCAGGGACACTGGGTACCCCGGAGTCTCCACTGCCTGTCCAGCACAATGAGCTGGGAAATCTGGAATTCACGGGATGTTTCATGCAATCGTACTTTTTAAAAAGGATTGAAATAGATAAGAAAAAGGAGAGGAAATTTATGAAAAAGTTAAGAGACGATGCATGATTTCCTGGCAGCTTGAGGGACTGTTGAGACACCACACTTGACTTCCTGACCCAGCACTGTGTCCTCTTGGTTCCCTGGCAAATTAGTAGCGGCTCATCCAAGGACTGCCAAAGAGGAGGGACCCTCTCTGCAGTCCCCTGGGCCTGAGCTGCTCTATCCCTTTCACCTGAAAATTGGCTGCCGCCATGCCCCGAATTCCTTCACACAGCCTTTGCTGCGGACACCACCTCCTCCAGTAACTTTTCACTAATTCTCTCATCACCTTTTATTTAAATCCCTAAAGACAAAGGAGTAAGTTGCAGTACATCTTGGCCATTGTCCAGTTTCCATTCTGAAAATTCCTCTTGAAAGACAGAGTAAGGGAGGGAGGGAAGGAGAGAGAGAGGAAGACAGCAGGGAACGAAGGAAAGAAAGAGGGAATAGAAGAAAAGAAGGGGAAAATAAAGGCAGGGAGGGAGAGAGGACATTGTTTACTCTGAATGACCAAATAGAATATTCTAAAATCTTGGAGAGATAAACATTAATCTAAGTTGATTTCAGTTCCTCAAGTTTAACTGTTCCTAGTAAGAGAAGCCAAAACTCTCCTAGCCAAACCACCGTTGGCTTTAGAGGACAGTTTTTTGCACTCTGTCTTACGCAAGCTCTACTTGCATTGAGAGAGAGCTAGGATTTCTGTTTGATGACTTAAAAGTAGGCTCAGACTCAGTCAGAGGAACAGAATACGTTGTTCACAGAATAGCAGAGTGAGGAGCAGGGTCGCAGTGCACATGCGTGTGTTACACATGGAAACCCATCCCGAGGACAGAGACACTCACTTGCAGGTGAACGGGAGCCCCTTGTTCCTGGTGCAGCGGCTGGCGCACTGGTCTGCGCTGCTCATCTTCTTGCTCTTACTCTTCAGTAACGGGTCTTCTTTGATGAGCGTAGTCTTGGCTGACTTTTTGAATTCATGAAGGGTATTTCTTCTTTTCTTCTGTCCTTCTATTAAGGCAAACATTGGGAGAAATGGGAGAGATGCTGTCAAGGCATGGATAGAAAAAGAGCTCGTGCATCATCTGCAAGACAAGAGCCTGGAGACCTGCAGGGGTGAGGGGTGAAGAGGGCCCGGAGTAACTCGGAGCCAGAGAGACTGCTGGGCCCTGACACACTCATCCATCTGTATTCTTCACTCATGCTTCTGTACTCTTTCAAAGGGGTGTGTCATCAAAACTTAGGACAGCGTTAACCCCAAATAAATAAAAGAAGCCTAAAGAAATAACTATCAGGCAAACAATTAGGATAGAGTTCACACTAAAGAAACACACTCTCCAAGCAGCACTCAGGTGTCAGAGCCAGGCACGCCCGGTCACGCATTATAACTTCTTCATTCTGCTCTGCACGTGGCCCTGTGTGAGCTCGGGCTGAGCAGAGACATCAACTCAGAGGCAAGCAGGAGACCTCTCACTCAGAACCACGCGGCAGACAAATTCTCTCCTCTTGCTTTTAGAACTGCTTCACGCTATTCACATGTTAGCCTTTCTCTTCCCGTTTGCTACACATTACGTGTGCTGTGCTGTTGAACGCCATGTCTTAGTGTCCACGGAGCTGTTTGTCTTGAGACCAGGCCAAAGGCTGTAAATCAAGTGCACGTAAAACTTCATCCTTTAATGCAGCCCTGTCATTTTTCTTCATGAAAGTACAAGGCCCCTAGATAAGCTGAAGCCTCCTACTACAAACCTGGAAAACAGAACCAAAACTTCCTAACGGCTTAATCTTACGGATTACTTGAGAGTTCAAGAACCATTTCTTTACTCTCAGTTTGCTGAATGTCGTCCAATGTCACAGTCGGGTCACCCTCTTCACAACTGGGGTCACAGTGTCTGGCTGATTGCGGCTCTAGGATAATAAGCTTGGAAGAAACCATGCACCTCTCCCGGTCAGTTCTTTTGAATACCCTTTTACCAAAAGCAATGAGGTAGATTCGTTTGTAAGCTAATGAGACCATGGCACAGGGAAAAGTTAACTCACTACACACAGACCTCAGACCGGAAGCCCAGCTGTCTGATTTCAGAGCCACTGGACTCCACTAACCATGGTGACTTTATCTAATTGAGAAGAATGTGGAAATATGACATGTAAACATTTTGCTGGAGATTTGGTTCAGAGCTATCAATCAAGAGGGGACTTGGATGGCAGAGCAGGAAATGCATAATAAATAAGAAGAAGCATGAGGGTCTTGAGATTTCCGGTTCTTTGGAAAACTCTGAAAAGACCAGTATTAATTTCTGTAGCAACACTTTTGATTTTAACTTTTCTTTTCCTTATTAGAAGAGGTGGCTATTGTACAATAAGTACCACTTCAGCACAAAGCTTCAATCAACCAACTGACCTATTAGCATGATGCCTAATGAGTGCCCACCAAATGCCTTCGTGGCTCTGGCAGACGGATGGCGATGCTGGCCTTGTCCTTGCCCTCACCTCCCTGCACTGTCCAGCTCCAGCCACTCGATCCAGAGCATGGAAGTTACATTAACGATGAATGAAAATGAATCATCTCAACGCTCATCTAAAGTAAACATTTAGAAATCCATTCTGATAAAAGTGTAATGGATAGGCATATATTTTGTTGTCTTTCTGAAATGTCATCCTTTGTTTCGGACAGTGGAGAAGAAACTGCTCTGTTCTCAAGCAAAGAAAGCATACCTCTGCTTGAACTTTTGTTTCTGTCACAGACCCATGGTAGTGGGACTTAAATTTTTTAAAAGATGGAGAAGAATCTGCTTTTAAAACTGTCTGCCAAAATAGAAGATTATACACATATGCACAATTACTTGTCCATGTATGTGTGTATATATATATGCATGTGTTTCATAAATGAGTTCATATAACTAAAATTATGGAATTAAAGTTGCCTGATTATAATGTATCTATTGTACTTGTCTAAGGGTAAAAGTAGCATATAAAAATAAATTCGAAAAGACTATGATAAACCGCATTTCAGTAATTAATTAAAATAGAGGCCCCTTCACTGCTCCAGCTTCTTGTCTCATGCCACACAGCGTGAGGGAAGCAGGAAGCCCACTGGAGAAAAGAGGTGTCTGGGTCATCCTTGCATGTCTCCGGGTATGGGTCCTCTACTGTCCTGTTGAAATGTGTTAATCTGTGGGTGCAGCTCATTAAAAACAGTCTGTTCTTGCTGGTTGGTAATTTTACTTTTGGTAAAGATCAAAAAGCATTCTGAAAAATGAATATATTTACAATTTCCCTTCACTGTGTTACAAATAAAAGTAACACAGTTATTTGGGGATACAAGACTAATCAAGGAAATTGGAACCAACACCAAGTTCCTTCCTCAGGACTCTCGTTTGGTCATGTAAATTCTCCCTTGTGAGTCACGCATTCTAGGTCAGTAACTAATTACTAAAATTATGAAGTTCAAGTTAGCTACATATCATGTAATACAGCATCTATAAAATCAATTACTCATCCAATAAGAGAAAAATTCAAAACAGAATTCATTTAAAAGCAGCATCTGAAAATAAAATCCCTTTGCGGAAAACAGTTTCAACTTTCTCGTCCATATGTATTAACAGCTGATGCTTGTTTTACTAAAAACTCTTAAAAGCCAGTCTTTCTTTGGGGAAAAAACTGAAGAAAATATCTTTGGATCAGGTTTTTCCCTTTTATTGTTATTGTTTCTTTCTGTGTGACTGTGAGTTGAAGCTCACATACAAAATATTGAAATGAAATCAAGGGGTGAGAGATCATGGCAAATTTGTCATGCTTGCTTGTATTTTAAATTACAACCCCTTCCTCCGTCTTCTCCCAGGATGGGAAAGTATGCTGCAAACTATATTTCCTGAAGAACCTGACGTCCCTGTTTCAGAGCTGAAGTCATTAGGATCCTACTGAAAACCTACAACCAGAAAGTGGGGTCAAATGTATCAAGGTGCTTGAAGAAAGACACGTTTCTCGCGGTCATTCAGCCCCACACTCGTCTCTCTCAGTACCTCATATATTTTCCTCTGTGTGGATGACCTGTTGACTTCAAAGGAAAATCCTGCAAGGAAAGGGCTTTCAGAGTGTGGAAAGAAGCAGAGGTCTGGCTCTCCGCGTTCTGCGTTCTGAGAAAGCTACCCGTGCTTCGTGATTAACAGTTTGAAGAGCAAGATGTTAAGATGAAAGTATCCAAGTAAGTAATGGGAGGAGGTGGCGAGGCCTGGAGATTTTAAACTGCTCAAAGGCAAGAAACACAAATAGAAGTTCTGACTATTACCCAGCTAGGCCTTAGATTTCCCTAATTGACAATCATCCTTATTCTTTCGAGGAAATAACCCTCTCACAAATGATGTTGGGGAGAATGAAACTGCGTCAGATTAAATCAGCTGTTGGTGTCTGAGGAGCAACATCACTGTCTCTTCCAGGAGTTTGTACAAGGAGGGGAGAGTGTGAGGTTGGGCGTCTCCCTAGATTTTCCCCTTCTTCTGCTTTCTACGTCCTCCTCGAAGGACTCCCAGGTACAGAAACCTCATCCTGGTAAGTGCCTTCTCTGTCCATTTCTGTCTGCAGCTGTCCATCCATACAGCACCCAAAGGCACCAGGGAGGGGCAGCCAACACCCAGTGTCTCACTCGTCAATCATATCCTCCCAAGAGAGCACTCATGGCTCAGCATGACCATCGAGCTTCTCCATATGGCCTCCCCTTGCTGCCCCAGCCCCAGGTCATCCCCCGGGTGCCATCACACCTGCCCTGACGACTCCTTCACCTGCTGGCTGGGGTCTTCCTGCAGCATCCCTCAGACTTCCTGTGCTACACTCTGACCACCTGTGTTCTCCTGACTCAGGTGCCAACCACGCCTCCGTTCATCTGCCCATACCCAGCGTGGGTACCAAACTCGGCCCAAACTTGCTTTCATTCACTCAGCTGGAAATGAACTCTCAACCCCAAACCTTCTAGCACAGAGGCCCTTTACTATTCTTGAGCCAATGGTTCTTCAAAGTGAATTTCAGTTGGCTTCACTGCTGCTGGCTGCAACGTAAATAAAGGGGACAGTCACAGATTTCATTCTCACAGGTTTGGTAGGAACCGAACCTCTTTCCCTCAGCTCACAAAGACACAAGATCATTAAGGCCTTCAACCTTGGATCTTCCCATGTAAGATAAACCCAAGCACGCCCATTTTACTGCAGTGAGTGAGTTTCTCTTTGGAACTTGGTCGAAGCTTATCAAATGTGAGTTCCTTTCCTCTTCTTCACCTTTGCAGTCTTCAAAGACTCTTAGACAAGAGACACTCACGTCAGGCTTCTTTTGTTACAGAGGATTGGTACTTGTTTTCAGTGTAAGTGGGAGTGAACAAAACTACTCCTATGAGGGTGACTTGGGCCAACTGTATTGAATATTTCTTCAGAAAACGTTTTAATGAAGTTGTCTCCATAACACAGTCTGCTCCTACTTGCTCACAACTTATTACAGTATTCACTTATTTTCTAACAGTGTGCTAGTTTTAATGATAGAACCAACAAAAACATAAGCAAAGCCAGTAATAACCACTACCATAAAGCTTCTCAAGGCTCACTATTAGAAGGCATTTAAAAGAACAAATTCTCTTTCTGTGCTTAAAAAGGCTACTCCTGTTTTCCATTTTGGTGATAATATAGTTATCGAAAGCTATCAAAATAATCTTGCCACCCAAAGAAAGTTGGACCCTCTTGCCTTGACAATTTTAGTATTATCCACTTCAGGAATTATTCATAGCACAGATCTGTGACTCCCAGTGGGCTCTGCCTGCCTGCCAGCTCACTCTGAAGCTGCTCTCTGCCTGTGCTCAGGGAACTCAGTCACTTCAGCATTAGCCAAAGTAAAATACAACTGCAAATGTATGCCTCCTGCCAAAACTTGGAAATGAAGAAGCAAAAAAGAAAATTGGAAATGCCTGCCAGAAACACACAGACACTGAGGACTGTGGATCTGCTGCTGGAGTGTGCACTCTGCTTTCCCTGTGTCAGTGGGATGGCTCCAGGTAACTGGATTATTCTTCACAGCAACACTTCAGTCTTTACAAGCAAAGCCATGCAAATCTTAGCCATGGTTGCAACTCGTGCCCAGAATTCCCTAAGCAGCAATGTCCATAAGAATGTCTCTCACTATGGTGCATCTGAGCCCCAATCATCTGGTAGATTTGAATTAACTTTTTTTTTAACCTCTGCAGAGAGATTTTACCCACTGGCTTTTAAATCTTACCTACTTGCTTTCAAACTGTCATTGCTCAAAAGGTCACTTCCCCAAATAGCAGAAAGCCAAATGGATTAAATGATTTTCTTATCATTTAGCAAATTCTCAGAGTGTTCAACCCTTGTATTACATCAGAACCTAGATCAGAGGTCTGATAAGTTCCATATTTGCCTTATCTCACAAGACACAGCCAGCTCTCTGTTTTCTGTGGCACAGAGGCTCTGTCTGCCACCTGGGCATTGGCTTCTCTCTGACTCCCCTGTGCCCGCCCTAGGTGTCCCCGCCACCACAGCGATGACACAGTCAGACACAGATGTTTCCTCCTGTCCTGATAACAAGAGCAAACTTCCCGAAGCAGCAGATGAGGTCTCTCAGTTCCCAGCCACCAGGAACACAAGGACATCACTGCGACCCACAAGCCTGAAGGAGAAGCAGGGCTGGAGACAGCAAGCCTGCAGCTTTTATCCCAGCCCCTCGGGGTTGCCCCCCAGGAATATGCTGCCTTTGCAGAGGAGAGGAATCCAGACCCAGAAAGCGGGAGGGAGAGCTCCGCAGAGAGCCTTTCGCTTGCATTTCGGTAGCATGCATATGATCCTCAAGTCTCCTCTGCCCCCTCCGGATGAAAACCTGTCTAATGTCATAATTTAGCTTTGAATGCCCCTGGATGGCATGGGGCAGTGGGTCATCCTGGACAGCTGTCCTCGGGAGCCGGGCAAGTCCCTGCTGGCCATCCCTGTCCCCTTTGCAAAGCAGACTCTTCAGCTCTCAACTCCTCCAAATCAACAAAGTTCCAGCCAGCTAGGATGCTTCCCTTTCCATCCCACCATCCAGGACCAGGGGTTAAAAGGGCCGGGCTGGGTGGGGTGAGGCCAGGAGCCTGCGGGGAGGCTGAGGATCACTATAAGTGCTTTTCAACCCAAGAAGAATGTCAAAAGAGAGCATAATGAGGGGTTGTGAAAAACCCATGCCACACACAGAGTCGGGCCAGGATGCAGGGAACAGGGATCCAGGCAGCCGGGAACAGAGGGGAGGTTGGCGGAGGAGGCTGGGGGTCTGCTGAGCAGAGGGCGCGGGACTGACCTGCGGAGGGGACGGCGATGGGGAGCAGCAGGAGGTGCAGGAGGATGTGCTGGAACAGCAGGGCTGGCAGGAGTTTGCTGGCCCACATGGTGAAGGCCACCGGCCGGGTCCTCTGCAGCAGATGCCTGGGTGGAGAAGTCCAGTCCGGAGTCAGCGCCTCCAAGAGCCGCTGGGCTCGAGCTGCTTTTATTGCGATGAGCTAAGTTTGTTGTGTGATTAACTGGAAGATCTAGGTCTGAACTCCCTCTTACGGTAAGAAACTGTTTTAACAACAGCCCTGCCTGCTCCTCCAGCCCCCTCCTTTCCTCACTCCCCCCACCCAACACCCAGCAGATGCCAGTCCCCCCCTACCCCCAGCCCCCCGTAAGGGAGAGACTTACAAAGAAAAGGTCACCTGGCCGGAGGCCAGCTCCAATATGGAAGCAACAGCCCCAGACCCCAGAGCTCCTATGGAGCAGGGATGGAGGAGCAGGGCTCAAGCCCACTGGCTAGATCAAGGCTCAGGCAGGGGACCATTGCGCTCAATTGAAAGAGAAAACGACATGTGTTTACATATCTCCTTGGGAAAGAGGAAGGGGAAGCCGCCGCGGAAGAAAGCAAAACGCTGCCTTTCAGCCCAATTTGCCCCTAATCTGCGTAGTCTCAACTGCAGGAGGAGCCATGCAGGGCTTCCAACTCTGACACCCCCGCCTCCCGGGGGTGGGAGAGGGAGCAAGAGGGAGGGGAGGGTCCCCAGTCCAGGCGAATGCAGCCAAGTTAGAAAGGGGCTGGGTAAGGAAAGGGCGTGGTGTTGTAGTTTAAAGATGAAGAAACAAGCAAAATGAGGCGCCCAGACGTCAAGTGGGAAGTTGCCGGGGCCATCGGCTGGGAGCAGGCAGCTGGCACAGAAGCTGCAGGAAACTTTCTGGTTTACCTGGCGATGCATGGTCTTTAAATGCCTGAGCACTGGGGACCTGCGTTGCCAGTGCCAGGTGGGCGTTCTGCTGGGACCCCGGCCGAGTGCCTCCCTGTGCACAGCTGGCTGTCTGGACACGCTCTAGCTGGGGACCCCCGACCTGCCTCTTTCTGCAGCTCTGTCTCCTGCACGCCACTCACCAGCCGGGGTCAGCTAGTCTGAGGGCCAGGAGGAGTCCGCAGAGCATCACACTTGAGTGAGATCATCAGCGGCCAGACTTCTTTAAGTCAGAAGCTTTTTCCTCCAAAGCCAGAGGCTGCTGCGTCGCTCCAGCATGGCTGTGTCTGGGGGTGGTGAGAAGCCCTGGCCGTGTACCCCCGGGTCCAGGGTGGAGAAGGACCGAGCTCCCTGGAGGAGACCTAGGCAGCCCTCCAGCCCTGCCCACTCTGTCCTTCCCGTCTTCTGGCAGGAGCAAAGGCAAGCAAACTCAGAAATCCCTTCCCAGCCTCAGGCCAGCGCCCACCTCACTATCCCCTCCCCATCAGTCCCGCTTTTTGAAAAAAAATCACAATTTCAGTGCTTCTTGCCTGTGACCCTGAATGATCCCGCACCACCTGTGGCATTTTCTGAGGGGCTAGGAAAGCTTTATGGGAAGCTAGACTTGTTGGGAGTAAATTCCTGTAGGTAAAGAATGGAGGCAAACAGACTTTCTGTTTAACTTTTCAGAGTCAGGCTGCAAGATTAGTGTGGCTTATTGGTACAAATTCAGGGAAAACTACACTGGGATAAAGGACCCAGAGCAGGAGGAGGACACAACACACTTGTGTTTATTGGGTCCACCGCTTTCAAAACTTTTAGTAACAGATGAAGTGCTGTTAGACTGAGTACTGTTAGACTTCTGAAAGTCATACACTGCTCACACTCCTGGTTGCTCCTTCTCGGACACTGGTGTCTTGTTATTGAAATCGTAGCTATCTGAAGGGAGATCTCTGCATATGTCTGGTAAGATTTATACCAAGTACTCCTAACAACTGTCATATTTAAAGCTTGGAATGAACTATAAAAAGTGTCACAGGCCAGTGTGGTGGGGCACACTTGTAATCTCATCACTCAGGAGGCTGAGGCAAGAGGATCGCTGCAAGTTCTAGATCAGCCTGAGCTACAAAGAGAGCTCAAGCCCCGCCTGAACTGCACAGGGAGACCCTGTTTCAGAAAGATTAAAAAAAAAAGTGTTGCATCTCACATTTCAAACCAGGTATGGTGGCGTGGCGAAGGTCTGTAACGTTGCAACGTGGGAGGCTGAGGCAGTGAGTTTAGAAATTCAACCTGGATGACTTGGCAAGAGGCCCTGCGTCAAAGCACAATAAAATAAAGGACTTGGGACTCCCCAGCATGTGTGAAGCGCTGGGTTCCATGGCTACACCATCAAAAGCTAGGGTTTTCTATTTGATGAAACAAGTAACTATTTTTACTCTTCAATCAATCAGCCAAGGTCACAAAGGAGTAAATACCCAAGTGTGAGCTTCAGATCAGTTTGCCCTACCCCTTAGGATGGAGTGAGTTTCTTTAATCACCAGTAGAGATAAAAAATCATATGCTAAAGATTCTAATTGCCAAACGTAGCCACAGATTGAATGTGTAAGATGCAGTCATAATAATCCATAGGATAAAGTAGGCATGATGATATGTAACCTCCACTAACCTGGAGCCTGAGACAGGAAGATCATGAATTCAAGCACATCCAGCAACAGGACAAAACCTCACAAATAAGTGAACAGCAAAACTAACAAAGTAAATAAACTAAGGTACAATTTAACATCTTCCTAACATATAGTTGATTATCTAAAGAAATAGACTGCTAATTATGTCACTTTTTCTTGGTTTTACTAACACAGTCTTTTTGTTTTTTGTGAATTATAACAATGTGTCCCCATCCTCAGCTAATCCCCTTTGTACTCTTTAGGGTTGGTGTTAAACTGCACAAATCCCGTATATATGTGTCTGGAAGTGGTTTGATAAAAAAGGAAATTTCTTTGAAGAAATGCTTTAAATGTCACAACGCATGTAGTTCCTTGGTTACAAGATAGACATTTGCTGCCCTGTAATCTTCAAGTCTGTTCTAAGACTGAGATCTCAGATATGCTGTGCAATCTAGATGGACTGAAAGCAAACATGTATCTCACTGTACTTTTCTCAAGTCTGCACGCGGTTAAACACAGGCACGTGCACACACACACACGCACACACACACCTTCTTCTTCTGTGTTCCATGTTTCTAACTACACGCGCTGCTGTTCCACCCCAGATACGCTGCTCTGGTTTTGTGATCAACAGACTGTAATGAGCTCTGTGTTCTTGGCTCCAGGTCGTTTCATTCACTGGGTGCCGCCCATGGGCAGCTGCCGCTGCTGCTGCTCCTCTGCAAGTCGTTTGTCTGATTTCAGATCTAGGACGAGTCATCTACTACACTCATTGCTGATGGAGAAGGATAATTACTCCAATACCACAGTTTCCTACCACCCAACCATGGCAGATGTTGTAGATGCTATGCTAAACACTTGCTAAGTGTTACCTTGCTTACCCTTCCCACCTGCTGGGGTCATGGGACAGGCATATATATACACACATATATACAAGAGATATATATTAGTACCACTAATTTACAGGTAAGGAAGTCAAGAGTTATTTCTGCCAAGTAACTCAGTTCAAATGAAACTGTGAATGAAACCTGATTCCTAGCCATCAACTGTGCAGTCACCTAGCTGCTAAGACCAAACTCTGTTCCACACTGAAAGACCACCCAGAGGATACAACTAGCAAAGAGGGGAGAGTGAGAAGCTCTGGTTACAGGGAAAGAAAGTAGCACTGACTTTTCAGGCTGTGTCCTAGATGTGAAAGGCAACCGTGAAAGAATTCAGGCAGGTGGAACCGTGGAAGGTTAAAGCTAGAGGTGCGGCTGGCAGCCTCTGAATCTGGGCCTCGTTCAGTGCGGAACACCCTCCGTGTAGGAAACTGCAAAATTCATTATGGCGTGGGATTCAGTGTTTTTTGTTTTATTTTGTTTTCTGTTTATTGTACTTGGGCCTTGAACTGAGGGGCATCACAAGCCCCTTTTCATTTGATTTTGAGACGGGACCTTGCTAAGCCACTAAATTAAATGATGTCACTGCTTGATCGTGATTTTGTCTGATGCTGCACCCACCTCATGGTTTTGCTCTATTTAGGGCTCAGATTTAGGATCTCTTTGTTGAAAATATTTTTAAATACCCAAAAAGGAGATTTTTTTTTTAAACCCAGAATGCAATGCAGTGTATTTATTTCAAAAGTTATAGAAGAGAGGTTGCCACGGCTTTGTTATAGAAGCTGAGTTAGGTAGAAAGATCATAGAAATGTTAGCGGGTATGGCAGACAGGGCTGGGCCCGCAAGGGCGTCTGCGCATAAGATGAGAATGCACTGCAACTGCGACGGAGTGTTCCTGGAAGGCTGGCATGACCAGCTCTGGTTCCTCCTGAAGGATGAGCAATCTGCTACCATCTGGCTGGGTAACCAGGACCCCTGACCCACCTCTGCCTCCCCACTGAGTCCCCTTCACCTAAGGGCTATACATGTGATCTCATCGCCTGAGCAGGGCTGGTCCACACTGCACCCACCTCTCGGTTTTGCTCTGTGAAACTTCCTTTGAAAAGTGGGCTCCAGGCCAACCCTTTATCTAGGTTCCCTCCATCTCTCTCAGGTGTGGTCTCCCTCTCACTAACTTTCCTACTCTTCAGCTCCACTGTTCCGTGTAATTCTTTCTTCCACTTTGGGCCGCACAGACCCTATGGGATAGCAAGCAGGTTGAGAGTAATTATCCTTCCTTCATGTTATACTCATAAAGACTTAGACCTGCATGGTCCACTGTGGTATCTACAAGCTGTTTGTGGCTGCTTACATAACTAAAATCAGAGCCACGGATATAGCTCAGTGGCACAAGTGTCTGCCTGACAAGGTCCTGAGTTCAATTTCTGGTACAAAAAAAAGTTAAGTTAAATTAAAACTAAACTTCACACGTTGTGTGCAGAAGCTCCACAGGTGTGACTCACAGCTGGACAGTGTGACCAATGCAGATAGAGCATATGTCCATCATTTTGGAAAAGTCTATTGGTTAATTGTGATCTAGACTAAGATTGGTGCAGACACCATCTCTTTATGGCTATGAGTTCACCCAGAGCAACAAGGATTATTAATAACCTAAAAATTAGAGACACTGTCCAGGTATGGTTGTGCATTCCTTTAATCTAGCACTCCGGGAGACTGAGGCAGGAGGATGGAACTTAATGAGATGCTATCTCAAAACAAAAACTTTTAAAAAGGTATCTGGGGCTGCTACTCAAGGGAAGAGCCCTGGGGTTGAATCCTCACCCTAAAAGGAACCTGCATATTGATATATCCCTCTGCTCTCCATCAGTTTTACACGGTGCAAAGCAGAAGAGCTTTGTCTTACCGCACATTCAGTAACAGGGACAGAAAGAAGAGTGCCCCTCCAGTGGAGGACACCGAAAGTCCATGATACAGACACAAGCAAGATGACACCCGAAAGTGATCATGGGACTCGTGTTTGTAAAAGCTGTTTTAAACAAAGCACCTGTCTCTGAAGGAAAGTGATGCAACCCATCTGGTTAGGTCTCTGAGGTGTGGCAAGGCTTCCTTAATTTCCTAGTAGAAAAGTGGCCCCCAGCATTACACAAGCCAGTAGCAGTGTGGAGCACAGGGCAGACTTAAAGAGGGTTTGCTTCTCAATGAATTCCCATCAGTTGCCCACGAGAAAAGCTCTGTTCTTCAGCCTACACCGGGCTCGGGCCCTCACGGATG